GCAACATGATCGAGCTTCTTACGCACCACAATGCTTGAGTAAAATGAATCCAACACACGGTTGTTAAATGCTAAAATAAAAAAAAATTAAAAAGTTAAAAAATAGAAAATGATTCACTCCTCCTTGCATTTCTCAACTATACTACATTAACTGTGTAACTCTGTACTTTCTTTGTCTACTTTACTCTGCCAGCCGCTGTTAACCTCTGTAATCAAATCATCCAATTTGCCTTCATCTCCCGCTCTTCAAAGGAAAATCACAGGAGACAGAGTACAGTTTCTAAATTGTGGGTGATGTGGTTAACTAATGGAGACTGCCTTCTACCAGAACAGTTTTAAGACCCAGACATCAAATACAAAAACTGAAGCTTGCCCTACCACATGATTCAGATCAAATGATTCACTTCTGTCCTATAGCTTGTGAACGTTTTGGTTTGTTCTTACAAAGACAACATAACTTTCAATTTTTATCGTCTTGTTTGATTTAAAGTCATTTTACTCTCCGTTCTTTAGCTACAACACTTTAGAACAACATTGGACACTTTTCATAAGAAAACCACGTGTCTGTAATAATTTTTCCTTCCTCTTCTATAGTCTCTTCTCATTTCCTTTTCAACATGAATTCTGTCTGCAGAGCTCTTCTCATCCTCTTCTCGTCTTCTTCAAGTGCTTTAAAGATTCAACAGCTGCTACCATCTTGGGGTCTCTTAACCCTTCTCCATCTCCCGACTTCCTGTTTGCTCAATCTGCTCGAGAGCCAGCAGTTGATCTCCTGCTGCCTGGTTGCTCTTTATCCAGTGTGCCATGTTAAAGACAAAGCCATGCTCATCATAACATAATTAGCTTTTTCCACAAATAAATGTGATTGCAGCTCATCTTTGGTGTTGGGGTGGGTTTAACAGCCTTATAAGTTCTAACAATCTGACCTAACACATTTCCCTTTATTTCCACTCCACGTTCTTTGCATATCTGTGCTGTCATTCCCCCAGTCACTGCCCCTTCTTTTTAAGTGTCTATCTTTTACAGAAGTGGCTGTGAGGCGACGGGGTCACACAGTGCTTGGTGTGTTCAGATCCACTTTTAGACCACATGCTCAATGTCCTGTCTGTCTGAGTCGAAAAGAACATCAATGAGCTATTCAGCATTAGTGCTCAGAAACACACCCACTGACTGACAAGAACACTTTGTGTTGTCAGTGTTGGTCCATATGATGGAAGTGGAGATCATGGAAGAATTCTATAAACACTGCTGTTATTCTATTTATATACAGACCCTTTAAAGTTTGTGCCAGGAAGACACCGTAGTTAAAATCTTACATCAGTGCCAAAGAGCCTTTCCCCACCCCTCTTTTGAACAGAATAGTTTAACATTTGATGTCGTTGTTGTCTTGTTTTTAAGAACAAAGATTAAACCACATATTTCCTACTATATGTATGACCAGTAGCATCTGGTGAAAAATATTCTAAGGGGAGCTGTGCCATATTAAGCCAGTTTCGGCAACTATCCCAATACAATTTATCACAAACAGCAGGATGCTGCTGTGCTGTGAGATACCAATTACTTAATGGCAGAATTAAAAAGCTCTTACACACAAACATAGGTGTTGCATTTGAAACGTGTAAACTATTTTATCATAATTACACATTTATTTGCAGGCAGGGAAGTTTGATGAATTCATGTTTTAACTAGTACGCTGACCATTGTGGAAATTCATAACTTTGTAGTCAGAAGCATTCTTTTTGACGATTCCCACCCTTACAGATCACGGCGTCCATTATATGATTCTGTGAAGGCTGATCTTTATCAGAATTGATGAGTCAAAACTGTGTTGTCATGCAGTTTCTTCTTCTAACAGTGCATTACCTTGCACAGACGCTGGTTTCCGCACTTAGGGTAATGGTACCATGTTTGATGGTCAAAGCAGTGATGCACTTTGTTCCTAATGGACAGAGTTAGAGGAACCATTACTGGGTTAAGACTAGGAAAAGACATACAAATAGAAATATAAAAAGAAAAGCAGAGGAACAAGAGGGAGAAAATATCAAGGTATGCATATGAAATGCAACCCTAAACCATTACAGTCCCAGTCTCCAATTACATTATATCCTGGATGGCTCCTGACACACGGACACCAGTTGAAGGTGTCACAGTCAGATACTGTTTATCACACGTTGCAGTCTGAATCTTGCGGAAACAATCCAAATTCCTTGGCATGTTAAATGTAATGTTTTCTAAAGAAAATATTCAGTTAATTCAGCTAATTTCAGTTATTTGTTATTTAAAATACTTAAATATGTACTTAAATATGTAAATGTGCAGACAATTGTCGAATTTATAACCATTCCTAAACACTGGCAAGCTACTTCTGAAGATTTGTAATTTAGATTCAGGCAATTTATGGGTAAGAGCAGCAGGCTAGCTCACAATCAGCATAAGTGCCTTGATTAGTAATATTCGTTTTAAATTAACATATTATCTCAGTAGCTAACTTCCAAAAGTAATTTAATTTAAATAAAGTGTCAGAATCAGTTTTACTGCAGAGTTGATTTCAGTCACAGGTTTTGTGATTCATCTGTCTCTGAGGAGATGACTGTTGTATTTTAATTTCTCGTGTGATCAAGTAGTTTTAGAAGGTTTGCGTGCCTATGTGAGTACCTTTGTGTGTCTGTGTGTAGGAGTGAAAGCATGAGAGACATTTTCTGTGGCTCTCATATTCCATTCTTAGTCTCTCCTAGTTGAATCATCTGCATGTGTAAAGGTTTCAGATCATTAAACCGGAGCCAGTGTAGAAAAGGCCATTAGCGGCGACTGCACTCTCTGTGTTACTCTCTGTGCATTTGAAGAATGTCCCGAGTCAGCAATGGGAACTGCAGGACCCGCAGTAATAAACCAAGCTGTTCAATGTATATAGAGACTGCAGTACAGGCAGCGGAGTGACTTTGTTATTCCAAAATATTGGAATGGATTATACTACCTAAGATTTAAATGTCTTTAGTTTGCCGATGTGAATAGGAAAGGGGAGGGGCTTATGTGTCCATATACTCAACCTCTTTACATCTTAATTTGTATTAGTTGACTGGGAGGTTTGTCCATTAGCGGCATCTGTCAATGCTAATCTCCAGTATACACATCCAGTTAGACTTTCTACGACCTCAGCAAAGAATGTTGCTTTATGTACAGATAACACACACACACACACACACACGGGTGTGCAGATCAGACTCAGGTGGAGACTCCAGCTTAAAAACGAGCAAGCGAGGGTTACTTGGAAAGAAAAGGAAGGAGAGCACGAGGAGATAAAACTGGAAATTGATCATTTTTATATCCGTGTAATATAACTGCAGTAAACACACACTTAATGAAGTCAGCAAAGATGGAGCAACTGAGAGACTGGAGGCCTTAGCAGGGTAAACAAATCCTTCATGAGGGCAGATAAGCCTTTAGAGAGAGAGAGAGAGAGAGAGAGAGAGGATCATTACTTCAGTTCACTTCAGGGTCAACTGCTCTTACCTATCTATACCCACACACATATACACAAGGTCTAAACACAGGGTTTTCCAACAGTGTGGTCCAGCATCCTCTCCCCCCATCCATCTCTTTTATCTCAGCATGTCTTCCACTCTCCTCCGCTCTGCTCCTCCTCTTGCTCTTCCTTTAAGTCATACACTCCTTTTTTACAAACCAGTGTCCCTATTTATTCATCTTCTTCTTCCTCTTTTTTTCTCCCTTAGCCACTGACCTCTACCCTTCTCCCCAGACGGACATTATTCGAGAGAAATGGCCATTGATTTGTTGAAGCCCCTTTTCTTCATCTACCTCCGTGTTTAGAGGTTGTTGTTGTTTATATACTCCTGACATCTCCAGGAAAACACAAATGTTTCCCCTTTGTCTCTGTATTTAAAAGGCCTTGGTCTGTTGTGCTCCTGAGATCCTTGTAAACAGCAAACAGAAAGGACACCAGCCATTAAACTGTGTCAGTATCACTAAGGTACTCCTTGGAGCTTCTCTCCCCTGTTACCATGTTGGTGTTGTATGCACTCGTGACCCTGGCGGTGCTACAGTGCTAATCCCAAGAGTACTTTACTACAGTTACAGTTACAGTTCTTTACTAAATCTAACTGGACATAAGAACCTTGTAAAACTGCAGAATCCTTCATTTGATTTTTTCCCCCTGGTTTTACTCTCTCAGTCTCATTCATATCTCCTTTTCTCAGTCACCATACTTTTCAGTGGCACTCAGTAGATATCAGTCACAATCATCCATCATCCATAATGTGGTTTCCCCCTCAGATTCACTGCTCATTTCTACATCAGCCCACTGCCCACTACTGAATTAGGCATCACTGTATCTCCCTCCAAAGATATGGACTTTTATTTCTTGAGTTTGTCCCTTAGAGGTTAAACCCTATCTAAAATTGTCCTGCCTCGTTCCACGCAGCACTTCCTGTTAGTTATCTCCTGATGGTGCATTAACATTTAAACACTAGACAGAGAGAACAGGAGATAAGCCAACAGGAGTTCTGTGTATTCAACAGTAATAAATGAACCCTGGGAAATACGAGCGGAGGGAGAAGGATGAGGTGGAGGAGGTCCACAGGTCATTTTCTGTTTATAATGATGAAATAGAACTGAGAAGGAAAAGAGAGCAGAGCAGAAGCTCTGACAACCAAAGAAAACAGGCAAAGATTTACATCAATTTACTCAAATAAACCAAAGCAGCAGAAAGACGGCTGCTACTCTGGCCAAAATGTAATCCAGACCGTTTTCCTTCAGGATATAAACTTCAGAGCCTCTTATCCAATAAAGCTTAGGGTCTTTGTATGATCCGGAAATTATGAAAGCCCCAAAGTGTCAGCAAGTTCAAAGGCTCTGGGGTCAGTTTATGCGTTGTAGTCTGTTTTATTCATTACATCTTTCCGCCCTCTAGTGGTCAGAAAAAGACAACGTTATTGTGCAAATGCGGTGTATTATGGAGAGTGAAATGGATGCCCCTGTCTGTAGAGAGTCTGATGTCTGGGCTGGAGATTGAGTCGCGGCGAGTGGAAAACAGTGTTTTGGCTTTGGAGAGTGTGTTGAAGGAGTGGCTGCAGGAGCAGGGAGGTGACAGGGAGCAGCTGCACCTGCTGCTGCCCAGCAATACAAAACACCCCAACCCAGGTTAGAATTTAAATCTACCACATGTGACATATTCTGCATATAGCAATACTAACTAACTACTAACACGTGCCCTGTGTAGTGTGTCTGAAGTGTGACATGCAGGAGCGTCTGATCAGCCCTGCACTCATCCCTGTGTCACCTAACCTGGGAGTGATGACTGAGAGCACTCGGGACTTCCTGGCTGTCAACAGGACCTCGACCAATCAGAGCCTGCCACCACAACGATTAAAAGTAATCAAGTAAGATCCAAGGCTGCATCTTTTCACAATGTAAAAATATTTTTCGTCACTAATAGTTTCTCTAAGACACCATAAAACAAAGATGATGAAAAAAATTGCAGGAATAAGGACAGGAATTGATATACAGTTTGGAGATTCGATTCAGAATTGTTGTTTTTTTTTTTTTTTTTAGAGCTGACATTTTTTAGCATTTTGGGATATTTTTAGATATATCAATTTTACATTATATGTTATATTTTACTTCCAGTGGACTCACCACCCACAGGAAGTTTCGGAGGGGTGAGGGGGGGGTGGTACAGTGCAGTGTGATTTGGGTGGCGGTCATGGAGACTGCTGCCCCCGTGACCCGGTAACGGATAAGGGGATGAAAATGGATGGATGGATGGATGGATGTTATATTTAAGTGAACCAACAGTAATATCACATCAGTAATATAAGGGTCATTATTACTTAATTAGAAATCTCTGTTTGTGTGTGTGTGTTACAGGGCGCTGCATGCAGTCGGCCTCTGTGAGAGCGTGCTGTATGGCCTACCTCTGGTGATCCGCCCCACCACTTGCTGGCGTCTGGACTGGGAAGAACTGGAGACCAACAACAACTTGTTCCACGCTCTCTGTCATACACTTCACGTCTGGGAACACATTCACAAACAGATTGACATGAAAAGTCAATCCTAACTTTCCAGTTTAGATGAAAACTTATTTAACCTTCTGTTTTGCAGAGTCGTGATTTGTTTTTGCTGCTGCAGGTGGAGCCTCTTCAGACTTCTGCAACCGGAGGCTCAGGTGTGTGACTGATTAGTAAATAGAGCACTGATGTAAAAAAAAAAAGTGAACCTGTAGTGTGCATGTTTGTACAATACAGGTGTGTATTCTCATTACGTGCTCCAGTCGTCCTCGTCGCTCTCTCTGCTTCTGAAGCCTGTGGCCTCCAGGGAGCTGTTGCTGCCCTGTTCACTGCCTGTCTCAATGCAGGACCCCGTACTGGACGCCATGCAAACCATACAGGTCAGGGGGACACAGGAGTCAACACCATAGACTGTGTGAAGAAGGTGTTTATTTCCATTCGTTCCTACAAAACAAAAATAATATTAATAAAGCAACTGAGTGAACTGAAAAAAGTAACTAACCACAGGGGGGCGCTGTCAATAGTTACCAAAGCTGTCCTACCAACAAAACTTCAATAACAGAACCCAAAACAAGAAAAGAAACAGTTATTGATTCAAATGTCTGTCTGTAGTGATTATAGAAATGTTTTTCTAAATTAAAAAAATCAATAGGCTGTGTTAATTAAAAGGGAATTTAAATGTAATAAATATATTTTCTTTCTAATGTCTGCATAAAAAACATTATTATTATTATTTTCCATTATTAGGGTGGAAACACACTAGATGATGCAAATTATCGCTCCGACATACACTGTACCCGTTTCAGCTTGAATATTCTAAATACATGAAAGTACAAGTAGCCCATGTTTGAAAACTTCCCAATCAAGTCTTTAAGTGCAGAAGTAATAATACTTCAAAAATAAAAAATACAATTAAAATAAAAGAGTTCTCTGACAAATGTAACCACTGCAAAACTCCTCACTGTTCTCCCTGTATTGCTAATAGAATTACGACCAAAAAAAAGTTGCAGTACTTTCCTGTAGTTTCTAGTACCTGGCAAGGACAGAGCAGGTACTCCCCCAAGTTTGTTGAAGTATTAATTGTGGTGGAAACAAAATCGAACTCTTTAAAAACAGACAACACAGGGAATTTTACATTACATTTGTCATGAGTGTGTGTGTCCTCTGTCTCTGTCAGAGTTGTCTCACTCAGCTCGATGAGGACGTTGTCTTCAACCCTCTCTCTCTGAGCAGTAACCTCTACCAGCAGCTGAAAAGCCGAGGCCTGGCCTCACAGGCACGGTATCCATACAGGTCAGTGTGTGACGTCATCGTCAGTGCACTCATCTTAATCCTGTTCGTTACCGACGTCAACTAATTGTTATTATTAAATTTGACCGTTATTAGGGTTCTGCCTGCTGCTAGTCACAGAGACCAGTCACAACCACCAGGGAGCGCTAAATCCACAGCCATCAGACAGCCGCGTCAGGTAAACAACACGAGTTTTATGTCAGTGTAAAGGTCACAAAAAATCCGTCATGGTGACAATTCAAGGCTAAATCGAGAACTACATTTTTATTTTTATTTTTTTTACTATACAAATGTGTGGTCTAAGTTCTTCATTTTTGTGTGAAAACACGAAACTAAATGCAGACATGCACCCAGTCTGAATGTTGAGGTCATTTTTTTATGATAGTGGAAGTAATGGAGGACATTCTTGTGGTTCGAAACAGGAGTCTCAGATTAATACAATATAAAAGAAACAAATCTGTTTGTCGTCTCGTTTCTTTTTTTCAACACAAGTATTCCTCTAAGACTCTGATATACTGTTAAGTATGATCCCGTGGTCGGTTGAAGGTCAGGCTATAACACTATAAAGATTAAAGAAAATGAATGCAATTGGATGTTTATCAGTGTATACTTGACCCAGTGTGTGGCAGTAATGCAGCTGCTGGGTTGCAGAGCTGTAGAAACAGAAGCCAGTGGAAACATTTTAAGAACACAGGAGAATTTAAAAAAAATGTGTGAACTTTATCACAGGGGTGTGCAGCTTCACTAAATACCAGGCACTGTGGGCTAGAAGTGCACAGGCCGACTAACCACAAAACTGTCAACTCAAATGTGTGAATAATTGCTTGTCTCTAACCATAACCATAATATAATTCTTATCATTGTAAAACAAATGTGTTTTTTTGTTGTTGCTTTTTTTAATATAAACTTGTATGCGACCAATTAATTTCCTATACATCTGAACATCTAATGTGCAATTTCCAGCACACGTGTCTGTACCCAAAGAGATATAACTGTTGGTGCAGTGACTCATCGGAGGTGATAAGAATGGTGTAAGATTCAAACTGTTCCCTTCATGGGCACAACACAGGAAGGAAAGGTTAAACACACGATGATCTGTTCTTTTTCTTCTTTTTTTTTTCTTCTTTTTTTTCAACCAAACAGCTTTAATGAACACACACAGCTAATATCTGCTTCCTGTTTCCCCCTTCTCATCTTGTGTTTTTTGTGTGTGTCAATTTTATCAAGTATATTGAAAAGACAGATTTATTTCCATTTCCATTCATTTGATGCCACAATTCTATTTTTCATAAGTGTGTATTCATACATTGATGACCTATTATTACACCCGTGTGTGTGTGTGTGTGTGTTTATCTCCAGGCACAAAACCAGCGTTGTCACACAGGAGCAAACAGTAGGGTCAAAGCTACCGTGGCTCCGATGACCTTTACCTCCTCCAACTTCCCCTCTTCCTCCTCTGTTGGGCCTCCTCCTGCGAGGATCCCCCGTCTGAGTCTGGCGCTCCCCAGCAGTAACAGCGGAGGCCGCAGTGTTCCAGGTCCAACTCCACCGGAGGAACATGTGACGACTCCATGACAATCTAACGAGAACAACAGCCAGGTGAGTGGGACGAGAGAGGAAGTGTGGTATTTCATATGAAAACACTTCAAATCCATACCTCTTAGTTCAAAGGGATTTCCAGTGGGAGACAGAATTGCTAAGTCAGCACGCACACAGTTATTGGACGCCAAGACACAGACTGGGAAGTGGTCGTAACCACCCAAAGAGTGAGACACAGCAAGTGTGTGTGCGCTGTAAACATTTACGTGCAAATTACAGTGAGTCTTAAAAAGGTTTTGCGAGCCGCCTGATTACACACAAACTTTATAACGGAGACAGATAAGCCAAGTGTGCCTGTGTCTGTGAGGAGAAAAGGAAGGAAGAAAAGTCTCAATTCTCCATCCTGTGTTTTTTTTGCTGACGGAGAAGAAGATCTGACTATAAAAAAAATAAAATAAAAATTGTACGGAAAAGATGAAAAGAAAGGAAAGAGCGAAACAATGGTGTCATAAAAACTGTCAAAGGCAAAGTAAAGGGCAGAGTGGGTGGTGTGGAATATATGAGAGAATATGTGAATAGCTGGTAAATTTACCATGATACCAGCAAACCTCTCATTGGTTACTCTGAATAATTTCAAGGCCCAGAGTGTACAAATCAAGATGACTTCTGTGGAGAAATAGTAAAACAGACAGATTACACTGATGTTAAGTAGGTCACTGATGAGACTAATCAGGTATCACTATCTCCAACTGTGGCCTTCTGTCTTTGAAACTATTGTTAAATATTAAAGGGATTGAATGAAGAAATTTAGAGATTGGCTCCAACATAAAACTAAAAATAACTAATAAAAGGACATCGCCAAACTAGTGTAGTACGATCCAAAAATATTATAAATTACGTTAATTTTACTCCTGGATGACTACATCCATCTGTTATATAGTGTGTGGTCTGTGGTTGTAGCATTTACGGAGTTGTATCTTAGGATGTACATTTGAAACAGACTGAGACTTCCATAATTGTCAACTGGTTTCTCTGTGAGAAGAGAAGTCCATAAGGTCCTTCTTAAATGACATCACAGACATAAACACGATGACTAGTTTTAACAGTGTGTGAGTAGAGCACGATGGCTAGTTTGTAGAATGTCACGTGATGTGATTTAAACTGAAACAGGCGACTGTATGTGACAAAAGTCAATACACTCCCTGACCTGTGTGACCTGTGATTAGGATCTATGAACATCCTTCATAAAGGTGCTAGTAGATGTACAAAAAAACGAGTCCTTAGACTGGAATATATTCAACGTCACCCTGGAAACAGGTGGAGCTACACACAGACAAACTGTCTGAACACAGCCTCACTGTTTTAATGAGAGAGAGAGAGCGAGAGAGAGAGAGAGAGAGAGTACAGTAAAACAGCAGACAGAGGGGCCTCTCTGCTCTCCTTCTCCCCCACAGCATGCTCTTTCTCTCTCTCTCTCTCTCTCTCTCTGGGGGTCAAAAGCTGGCCATATCAGGGGGCTGGAGGCGGTGGATGGAGGCGGGACTGAAAAAAGATGAAAGTGATGAATAAAACAGCCTGTTGTGATAAATGTGAACATGATAGCTCAGCTAGATGTGTGTATGTGTGTTGGTTATGCTGGCAGGGCCATCATCATCTGAATTTTTAATGTCACATTTCCAGTGGTTTATATCATATTTCGACATTGGTCATAACACCACCAATATTATTATTTCATGTTAATTAAACACACGCACGCACACACACATCCTCAGCCTCCCGCCATTCCGCCTTCGTGTTGGACTTCACAGCATTTGGGATCCACAGTGTCAAATGACCACACGATGTTGTGATGTTACAGGACTTCCGCATTCATGAATTACAACCACAACTGTGCTTTTGTCCCTGAGGAGATTTACAAGTGGAAGCCCAAAACTGCTCACTGACATTTTATCTCTGTTCTCTTCCCAGCACACAGTGGAGTGGACCCGCTTGAATTTCATACATTGGTTCATATAGAACCACAGCAGCTTCTCTGTCCTGGAAAGAAAGGTCAGAGGCAGAGTTCCTCTGTTTGACCCGAACACCATCAGACACACTCCATATTAAATGTCAACACTGTGGGAGTTAACTGTATGTGCGGTTGACAAATACAAAAGTGCGACTGTTTGCGTTCGCAAATTTATTCAAAGTGAAGTGTTGCATGGGGGATTTTTGAAATACTGCATGTCGGCCATTTTTTGTTCGGCGCTGTTGTGTCAGATGACAAACATTCGTATGGCAGAGTTGCCCCTGACGTTGTTCTAGTTCACTTTTAAGGATGTTACTCGTTTTAAATGTAATTGAATATTCGAGGTATAAACAACCAGTCGACACCGTTTCAAGTGGTTTGTTCTCTGAGTGAATTCTCAGGTTTCTCTTCTAAAGCACAGTTCATGTACATGTAGCATCAAATTTGCTTAGGACTGAGAATTTGCTTGCCTTCACTGACTCCTACACTCCTACTCCTAACACACCTTTAAAAAGTAGAGTTGCTGTTATAATGAAGCTCAGTATGAACAGATTAAAGTTTGAGTTAACTGTATCCTTTACTGTCCACCTAACACTACACTGAACATTTACATGTCCTGAAGGACACCTGTAATTTACAAAAACAGTGTTGATGTACTGTAGGTACAGAGGGGATGTTTGACATAACTTTAGGACTATAACTCTGTGTTGCATTTACACACAGTATAATACTAATAATTGCACGCATAATGCATCAATTCATTTTATGATTACTACATCTAACTGTTTTAACTGCTTAAGTTATACTATACTCCCAGCAGGAAGTGAATAAAAAAACAGTTGCCTATAGTGCAGGATAACACCACAGAGATAATCAACTGGAGAAACATTTACTGACCTTAACCCTAACCCGTCTAAGATATCCACAAACCCGTTCTGCCCACCTACTGAACAGGGACTTGAAGGCAGCAGTAAAAGCCAAAAGTGTGTTTCAGTTCGTACTACAACACAACAACGACACAGAACGTCTTACCTCATGGAGTGAATGGAGGCCCATGACTCTGACATAACAGGGACAGAAACACCCACAGTTACTAAAGCTGTAAAAAGTTGGTCAGCCTGGGTCGGAATGACTCAAATAAAGTTTGTGGGATTATTTTTAGTTTCGCTGTCGCGCACACAGATTCACACTCTTCAGCTTTGGTACACCCAGTTTACCAGCCCTGTTAAATTTACTAAGACGATGTCTAACCAGAGCTCGCCGTGAGCGAACTCTCCTGAATTAGCACTAAAAAAGCTAAAACATTAGCCACTGTGTGTGAGTTTAAAGTCCTATCAGTGACTGAGTGGAGACAAAATAAATTTGAACCAGTGGGCAGGGGACTGACTGTCTCCAAACTGTTGATTCACTGTTGACCTTTTCCTGCAGACACCGACGTGTCTGTCACGTTAAAGATGTGTGTTTGTCCTGGTTCATTTTGTGATTTTTTTCCCCCTTTTTCTTGTTGGTTTTTTAAAAAGGTCATTGTAAACTTCCTGTTTAAAATTGCAATAATATTTCTACAGCCTTATCAGGATCTGAGTCAGGATAATATTAGTGCTGCCACTTCCTGCTTCATGCATGCTGTTCCATTTCCTACTTTGCTACAACCTCCAGAAGAGAGAGGAGAAAAAAAAACCTCAGTATCTGTCTCCTAAACTACAGTACGGCGTCTCTTTCCTGTCATTGTCATCGTTGGACACAGGATCAGCTGCGTTCACTCTGAGAGACAGTGCCGGAGCACAGCAGAGCAGGAGTCAGAGTTCAGACGCAGGCAGAGAATAACCAACGCACTCTGAGTCAGAAATGAAAGAGGAAGTGAATCTTTTGTGAGGAGGAAGTGAGGACGTAAGGTTGAGCAGATGCAGGATCTGAAGTGTGATACTACTTACAGAAACCCAAAAGTGGCCTTTACGCCTACACTGGCATATCAAAGTCTTGGAGCTGATTTGCATGGAGTGTGTGTTGACACTGCATCATTAATCATAGGAACACCACTGTAGTATCAGTCAGCACAGCAGACCCAGGAGTAAAAAAAGCTCAATTTGATTCAACTGTAAATCTTTTGTGCAGAAACATTTCTTTTCCAGACCACAGCTTGGGAAATGAAAATGGTCCGCTCCATCAACGTCATTCTAACCTTTCGCACACACACAAAGTTCTGCATTAGCACAACTTGTTTTTTGTGGCAGTAGAGCAAGAAACCAGTGACAGATTGTCATTTCCTTTAGGCTTGACAATCTAGAATGACTTAGAGATGACTAAATAACAGTCTCTTTCAGACCCTTGACTTTTTCTTTCAGAAAACTAAAACTTCTAACTTGCTGACCTGAACTGACCCACAGATCACAATCTGAACCACATGTCATGTGACTTGGTTAATGACTTTGTAATGCATGACCATTAATTTTGGCTTCACTGCTGTTTTAAAGTAGTCTGAATTGCTGTTTAGTGTTGATGATGCGTCGTTTAAAAATATATCACCCGTAACTGAATTTAGTTATTGCAACGTCAAAACATTAATTCAATCCTAGCTTTGTATTTCCATGTGGCTGAGCTCTGTTGTTCCTAACATCTGTAGCCACTGGGGTCTGGGGGATTTAAAGACAATGCTTCTTGTGCTTACCTTTGAAAACTGATGTTTACAATGGCAGTCACGTACCTCCGCACACGTCACTATGTTTCGGTGAAGTCCCACTTCTGTCTGATGGAGCATACAGCCAAACAGATCCAGTAACTGGGCTTTAAGCAGCAGCAGAGGGAAAACTAAACGTATGCTATAGCACCAGCTCCTCCGGTACAAATAAACACCAACTGCAATGTCAAAAAAAACACAGGTACATATGCAGTCTGTGATTATGGACTGCATATACAAACACAACATTTAATGTTAGTATTTCATACTTACTCTGTAGTATATTGAAAACTGGTTAACTTGCATTGGACTTGTGATATTATTTTGAGCATAAAACGGCAAATAAACTGTGCCTCTAAAATAGTACTGGCACTAGAGTACATTTCTTAGTACTTTCCCTGTCAAACATTTATGTCTTATGATGAACTTCACGTGTAAGTGACTCCCAAACAGAATGATATTTCTGTGTTCAATATTCTATTGTTCTATCTTTGTCTCTTTTGTCTTAAAGTCAGAAGAAATGACTGTAATTCCAGAACAGGTCCAGCTTATGAAAATCCTTCAATTTCCTTCAAAAGAATAATGCTTGACAAACGCCTGGTTTCAGTGTATCTTGTGGTTGTACCCATCCAGTTATGAGTCAGGTCAAAAGTCAAAGTCAAAAAATAGGAGCTGAAACTTTCTGTTAGACAGAGAGACAGACAACAGGAAGACAGCAAATGTCCTATTCATAGGCAAGACGCTGTGCCTTTGCATGTGAACAGGCATAGAGCAGCGACTGTCTGGCCGTACATAGAGTCAAGTGGCCGCAAATAGCTCAGACTATAGCAGGACACATGTAAACACCTTTGTCAGAAGTCAACTGAACTGGGGAGGGGATGAACAGACCAGACCACACATCAACAAGTGGTAAAGTCTAATCCGGTGAAAAGTGAAGGGAGGAAAGAGGTAACAGAAAGCATAGAGCAACTGAATTTTTTCACGTTCCAATACATCAGTACTTCTCAATTAGTGGGGCGGGGCCCCCTAGGGGTGCGGTGAGGTGACATTTCTGGGGGCAGGACAGAAAATAAATAAGAACCACAGCAATACAGGGACAACAGACAGCCCAGGCCATAACATTAGCCTGCACAATGTAGACTGGCCCTCATCTTTAACATTGACATTGTGGAGCACCATTGCAAAAGCAACAAACTTGATGTTTGTTAATAGACAATAAGTAGATGATAACGTCTCTAAATGTCAACTGTTCTTTTCTCCTTTTTCCACATTTAATTTTAACGATGACCACTGACACAAGTCGCAATCAAATCACGATGTTTAATTGACCATAACACCAATCTAAACTCTTTGGACTGTCCGTGAAACCGGGAGTCATTGAGGGGATGATCAGACTTCTCATCAGACTGAGCAGACGTCTGTAGTCCTCACACAGCAGCCACTTAGTGAGAGAATGTATGTCAGCATGTTCTGGATGTGCCAACAAAGCGGTGGTAAACCAAAGGAAGAAACAAATCAGGACAGGGTGAAAACAGTACTGTGTGTGCATGTGTGTGTTCTTCCATTTTAAAATGGGTTCAACCAGAGTTTAATGACAAAGACAGAACTTCAAGGTTTTTTTTTTCTCCTCTTCTCCCTTTTTTCCTGGTTCTGCTATTCAGTTACTCAGGAAAAAGGTTTCCTGCCCAGAAACCGTTTCAACAGCAGCAGGTGAAGAAATAAAGAGGGAATAAAAGAGCTGGAAGAACGGGGATGACGAGGATAACGAGCGGCAGTGGCAGCGGTGGAGGGAACAGTTTGTACTGAGTCGTGAGCCAAGCAGACACAGACAGGTTCATCCTGCCACGACTTCATCACGTCAACATCTGGTTTACGTCCTTCTATTTCCAGCTTCAGGTTATCGGCCCTCATCTTCTCCTGCCAGTGCAGTGCAACTTCACATCTTATTCCTCCGCTGGTTTTCTGCCATTAAAAACAACAGCAACTTGGTGACACTTTCACCAAGTTGCCCCCACAGCAACCCAACAGCATCGTCACGGCCGACAGAGAGAGGGGAAGTAAAGGACAGGAAAACAAAAACAAAGAAAGTCTTTGTTTCACTCTTGGAGGCTCAGCTCTGATTGAGAGGCTGGAAACGGCCAGCAACAACAAAAACAGAGCATGGCAGAGGGAGGGGAATGGAAGATGAGGTCAGACTATTTGACTGTCCTCTTTAGTCCAGCACAAAAAAGATCCTTGCTATGGAGAGAAAAACAGAAAACGTGTCTAATTAGCTCATGGTGAGATAAGACAACGAGAAGTGAAGCAGTGACTGTTGACCTTGGCGGAGTTCTCTGTGTTTTTGGAGCCATTCTTTTTATTTTTAGCTCTATGTACACACAGCACAGCTGCTTCTGACACGTTATCATCCACCGACACATTACAGTGATTGGTTAGTTCATCTCAACCAGGAAACACGAGGGATATAAATATTTCACTGTGCCTTTTCTGAGAAAATCAAAACTCAAAATCAGTCCTGTGATTTGAAATCAATTTTCCTGTATTAACAGTCATGAGTCTAATCAACACACGTTCACAAACCATAAACTCACAGAAAGGTTTCTGGGCATACAGTCAAATCAGGAGAAGCCTTCACTTTCCCACCAACTCACATTTATAGCCACGTCTTACGGCCACCAGGGGAGTCGATCTCTGGTGGATGTGTGTCTTGTGCAAACTACTTCCAAAGTTTCACTTTGGAAAGCCAGAAGACATAGTCCATTTGTTTCTGTTTACGATCCACGGTCCGTCCATCTGAAAGACCCGGACTTGGTCTTGCTTACGATGAAACTCTAAGAACATTTTTTTGTTTTCATTTAGTGGTTTGCATGAGATGAAAATGTTGTACATCTCTCATCTCTCTCCCATTGTTACAATCCACAGAAAGAGATGCCTGTGTGTGAGAGTTTTGGGTGAAGCCTTGACTCCTCATTGTCCCATTGTTACAATCCACAGAAAGAGAGAAGGAGAAAAAAGTCACTTCAAAAGGAACGGCCTAGATTTTTTTTCAAGGAAAAACCAAATGAAGCCTGTAACCCTGTGTGTGTGTGTGTGTGTGTTGGTAGAAGAAGCACTAGCCTCCAACCACATTGTGGCTTTGTACACCAATTATGGGTTACAGGATGGCCCCAAAGTGTAGCGGTTAGCACGCCTGCCTCGAAAGCAGAGAGTCCCGGGTTTGATTCCCAGAGGAACCACGTGCTTGACAACGTTAATCCTCCGCTGTACGTCTCTTTGGACGAGGCGTCCGCTAACTGTAAACCATGCAAACACTCTCTTTTACACACGTAAACCCACACACACAGAGGGAGGCCCTACAACAGGATAGAACACAGCTGCAATCTGCTTTTCTCACAACTGTGAATCATTCCAGTCCAGTCTGCAAGAATCAGGGTATTCAGCTTTTTTTTTCATCTGCCATTACTACTTTGGCGTCCTTTTTTTTCTTTTTTAAATGGAAGTATCGTTTTCTTTAAGAGTCTTAAACATCTCCCAGATTGTCATAGATGATTTCAGGCGATCTCAGCGGCACCTTGCGGTGATGACCATACCATGAGTCAGCAGGTAAAGGCTTCTGTTTAATCACTCTGCTGTACAGCTCCTTCACCCCACTTCCTCCTTCTACCCACTTGTTGTTATTGTTGTTGTTGACATTGCCTCCTTGTTTTCCAGGAGGCAGTGGCATGGGCTCCTTCCGACCTGGTTTGGGAGCTAGGACTGGTTTGGAGTACTTGGAGACCAGTGTTTGCAGGTTGCTCCTGTTTGGGCCCAGGTGTTGTGGCATCTGAGAGTCTGCGCTCTTCCCTTGGGACGGTGTGGTGTAATGTCCCTGTGAACCTGACGAGGGCCCCACCTCTTCCAGTCTCATCTGGCTGTGCGGCTCCAAACGGGCCTCGCTGTAAATACTCATCCCTAGGCCAGCAGGCAGACTTGCACAGCCCTCTGGTTCATCGTATATGTGCTCTTGACAAGGAAGTGGAGATAGTGTGGCGCCCTCTGCTTGGCCTCCTGGTGGGTTTTTTTTATTTTTAACCTTCCTTCCTTCCCCCTTTCCTCCCCCTGTGCCCCCGTTCAAACTTAGAACATTGGTTTTGTGCATCAGCTCCAAGGTGATCTGATCGTACACATGTGAAAAAAGGTCGGGCGGCTTCCGATTGACGCCTCCGTGGAACTGTTCCCCTTGGCCACCGCCCGCTGCTGCCTCGTCTCCTGGCGTCCTCAGCCGAGGCACGGGCACTGGAGCGTTGGCTGGGACACTGGTCTGATTCTGTATCTTGAAACTGTCCACGGGGTCAGAGTAGATACAGTCCAGATTGTACAGAGGCAGGCGGACTGCGTCAGCTGGCTCTGAATAAAGATGTGCCTGTTCAGCTGAGGAAACACCTTTTGCTGCTGTCTGCCCTCTGGGCGACCGAGGCGGAGTCAAACCTTCTCCCATAACCCCTAACATGCCGGGTGGTTCTGGTAAACTCCTGCATTTGAGTCCTCCTTGTCCTTGTCCTCTTCCTACACCTCCTCCTCCTCCTTCCCCCGACTCTCTCTTTCCCAGCACACCATCACCAGAACCCGGTTTGCTGCCTCCTGAATCGCCGTCCGCCTCCCGGCTGTTGCCGCTGCTGTCGCCACTTCCCCCCATGAGCACGGCGTTGCGAATTTGCTGCAGTGATGAAGGGCAGTCTGGGTCCAAGCTGGAGCAGCTGAGGTGTTGATCCTGAGTTTGAGCCTTCTGCGACTGAATGGCCTGGTCGACCAGCATGAATATTTCGTTGCCTTGCTTGGTCTCAAAGGTGAAGTTACCGGGGCCTGAGTCACAGCGACGACCTGCCTCGAATGAAAACATCACCTAAACAAACAGAGGAAGGTGGAAGAGGGGAAAAAGTGAGGGACACAATTGAGGAAGGCTATAAGTGAATGTGACTAAATAATAATCTTCAGAGGGAAATGCCAAAGCAGAGCTGAAGTAATGGGAGTCTGAGACGTTCCTGCACTCTCAGTCATTGCTCATTTACTATTTTTCTTGGCCCTGGGAGAAAGTTTGCTTTATTTTTCCATTAAACTTTTCTCTCAGTTTTCTCACACTCAACTATTTTTCACTGCTCAGACCGAATAGCCTCTACAACAAGAATAAATTACAACCAACAGCCAGTTTCAGAGAATCAGTCTGGTTTCTGAACGTGCAAAAATAAACACACATGTTCAAATGTGTATTTTTCATAGTTCATCTGCAACATTTAGCTTTGCGTGGCATTGCACTGCAAGAACTCCGACCACATACGTAAAGAACGCTATTAAAGAACCCTATGTTCTCTCACTGTAACCTAACATTAGAGTGAGGGCTTTAAATGACTGCAGTCATCTTCCTCTACCTGAAGAAACCTCTGTGATATTTCAGTGCCCATTGCGTACACCCACCCGATCTCTGCCGTATCTGCGCAGCAGCTTGTAAGGCCACACCAACATGTTCCTCTTGGTTTTCGGCTCCTTCAAGATCAAGGTGTCGCTTTCGGCTTTCAGCCAGTAGTTTCCGGCCAGCCCGCAGCGATCTGACGCCTCTGTGCGCTGGATGGTCACCCAGAACTCGTTCACTGCACGTAGAACATAAAAGAATACGATGATGACGACCGTTTCGTTAGTTCCTGACTCTTTTCTGTAATATAACACATTAAGGTTTTTACTTGAAGTCAGCTGAGTGTTTATTGAGACCTGAACATTTACTTAACAGCTATACTGCATTTAGATCATCTTTTGTCAGTAGTGGTGTAGACATGCAAAATGACTTGAAGCTTTGTGCAAAAAAAAAGAAATATAGTGTATATATATATATATATATATATATATAGCCTGTTTGCACATATTCCATGTCCACATAGTCCATAAACTACCAGAAGTTTACATCTGTCTGTCTCTACCTTGCTCTCTGGAGCAGTAAATGAGGTTTTCAGACATCTGTATGTCATGTGGTCCTCCATTGGAATCTGCAATCGTACCACTGCCCCCGCTTCCTCCCTGTAGACACACACACACACACATGGAAATGTCAACTGTGTTTTGAACGAGAATAATCATCATCTGTTTAATAAAAACACACACACACACTGTACATGTGCTCGGGGGTGCATATGTGTGTGTAATACCTGAAATGCGATGTCACACATGGTGTTCATCCAGTCTTTGGCGATGCTCTTCTCCGCAGCAAACACGTAGGTTTTATCGTTGGTTTCCACGCAGAAGGCTGCCATGTTTTCTTTGGGACAGTTCTCCGTCAGCGCCGGCAGGATAGAGATGCACTCGGACAAGCGGATGATCTTCTTGTCCAGCTTTCGTGTTTTATCATTGGCGCTGCTGCTTGAGCCTCCGCTGCCCATGCCCCCAGAACCCGAGGGTACGTCGAAGAACTCCAGACGGGCGATGCCATTTTGGCTGGCAGGGTATAGGACGAACCAGTTCTTCTTCCATTTCTGGAAAATAAAGACAGAGCTTTTCAGTGAAGAATTACACATTTTACCTCATTTATTTTATACTCCAGCACTTTTCACTTTCATGGCATGATGTTTATTTGTCAGCTGTTCAACATTTACTTCACCAACCACAACAATTACGGTACAATTCCCAAGGTAACCCATTTGTTGTGCTCCTTCAAAAAAAAAAAAAGCTCAAACAACACCTTCATTCACCCTGGATCTGGTATGAATTATTTGTCATGTGGCTGTGCTCAGGCTTGCCATGGTGCGTGACCTCTGACATCAAACCTGATTACCTTTATCACAGAGTTCGTCTCTTCTTTTAGCTAATGACTACTTATCATCACAAAGAGATTTGAACCAACACTTCCTGCAAATTTTATTTTATTTTGAAATTCAAAGTAAAAGCAGACTTATTATACACCTGGGGGGAAAATGGAAAATTAAAACTGAAAAAGAACCTGATTTTTTACACCGTAATTGGAAAGAGAGGCATGTAGAGACAATTCTACAGAAATCATTGGCAACTGGTTACTTGTTCAGCTCAAGACATTGTGAAAACACCCGTACTGTAAAACATAAAAACAGTAACAGAACAAGTTTCTGTATCTCAATGAGTAAAAGTAGAGAATCAAGTAAAGCTGGTACCCAGAAATATCTCACTTTACACCCACAACCCTAAAAATAATGTCAAACGTTGACTCTATAAGAATATTGTTCAACGTGTTCCACTACTAACTTTAGTCACTTTATTTTCCATGCAGGTCAATTTAAATATTGATATTTGTATCACCTTATAAATACTGTCTACCCTGCTGTTACTTTACTTGAAGTACTACACGTCTACCCTGCTGCTGTAACAACTGAAGTTCCCTGGTGTGGGATGAATAAAGTTTATCTTATCGTATCTTATGTTAAAGTCACCTGCTCTGTTACAGTTTAGCCACTGAAACATATTAACTCATACTCAAACTATTTTATTTTACAGTAATTCCCGGGAATTTCTTTGCTTTGTATAGAAGAGAATTACTCTGACGTTTGAGGTAATTTCATTTTCTCTTTCTTTTTAATCGTCAGTCTTGGACAATCGAACAGTTTAAAACAACAATGTGACAGAGGCCTGGTTTTTCCCATAGACGGCGGTGAGAAGGAAGAGTGAACAATGATCTTTTCCTCCACAGGAAGCAAACAGGGACATGACCAAACAACATCATACACTACTCAGAACATCACTGCGGCGTGACAGCAGTGTTTTGAACTTGAGATGTAAGTGACGCATTGAACATTAGATCACGCTTAGTCGAAAGTAACAAAAAGAGCGGATTACAGGGAAGAAACTGCTTAACAACATCATTATACATAGGAAATAAATAAGCTGGGAATTCCCTATTATCATATATCCTCGGGGTCTGTGTGTGTATGTGTGTGTGAATCTTTCACCCTACTACCCGCATTCAGTAAGCTAAGCGTGTGACAGGAAGGTCAGTGTTTTAAAGATCATTCAAACCAGCAGGGGAAATCCACCGTCCTGGTCCTGAGATGACCCATTAGTGTACCAGCTCTTATTTACTTTTCTTTTCTTTTTTATTATGATATAGACTCAATTATATAATAAAACATATATTATTATTATTATTATAGAACTGTTTCAAACTGTTTTGTTTGTGAGAACAACATAGACAATGTGGATCCGTTTTTCCCAAACCACAAAATTACAGCATCTTTAAATTGTTTGTCCGAAAACCACAACAAGTTGTTTATTGTCGAAAAATAAAGAGCAGAGAAACCAGAAAACCACGACGGGTTCGTACTTTTTAAAAACAAAGCCCGCTTTGAGAATTGTATTAAATTCAAAAACATGCAGCCTAATAAAAGGAAGGTTTTTGTAGCTGCCAGAGAGAGGCCATTTAAAAAACAACAAACATTGTCACTGACTTTTAAGTGCTATTGTCAAATATAATACATTTTACAACTTTGTATTTTCCCTAGTGGTGGCCTGGTGGCTAAGAAAGCAGAGTTGTGTCCAAAAGGTTGCAGGTTTGAATCCATAAGCCACCAGGGGCCACTGAGGTGCTCTGAGCATGGCACTGTCCCCACACACTGCTGCCCAGGTTCTTAAAGCTGCCCACTGTTCACTTTGGTGATGGGTTAAAGACAGAGGTCACATGTGGTTGTGTGCAGTGATGTGCTGTGTCACAACGACAAGGAGTTCACTTTCCATTTTTTCCTAATGTGGAAAAATGAGTAAATAAATGCACATAGAACAAACTTCAAAATAAAGGTCAACCTGTAGCTTCCCAGGCTAAGCTACCGTAAGCTAAGCAAAGCTAAGCATTGCAGCCTTGATGAACTGTAAAACACAATGTTTTTGAAATGTAAAGACTTAAAAGCTAAAATGTATAGAATAGAGCTGCATGAATTATTATTATTATTATTATTATTATATTTTTTAAACAGAATGGCAACATAACGGAGCATCCCTGTGGTTTCAACAGTGACCACATGACTCATTAAGATGCAGCAGAGTCTAGATAAGGCGTAAAGGCCGTAGCGTCATTTCTTTACCAGCACTAACGTGCGGAGGAGCAGAGGCCTGTACACCAGCACAATAAAAGGCAACTTCATCAATATTTAATGCACACATGCATCAACTGCCAAAAAGGACAGGAAATGTGTGGGACTGCCATCGCCCGGGATTCATAGCGCTTCCTCTTTCTACACCCAGGTGCCTCTCAGTGTTTGTGTGCATGTGTTTGTGTTGTTTTGTGTTTGTGTGTGCTGTATTGTAGACCAGCTGTGGCTGTGCAAATATACACATGCACAGTGGTGTACAATACCAGCACTGTTGCATTATGGTCCTGTGTTTGTGCATGTGTGTGTGTCACTACTGCTCCATATAAGGCAATAGGCCGTTATCATCCACGAATACACTGAGTGGAAATTATGCAAAAAAGAAGACAGACAGAGGGAGGGAAACTTCCTCCCTGATGTCCTGCTTGGTCATGAGAACACGAGAAAGAGCCCTGACACAGACGTGTGTGTGTGTGTTTGTGTGTGTGTGGGTTGGTCTGTGTTTCTTCTTTTTAATGCCAAGGAAACACACCGCACCGTGTCACTGTGACATGTCAGTGACTGTGACATTTTAAATTTAGATATCGCCGCAAACATCGCAACACGTGGTTAATATGAGCGCCTCCAAGAATTCACTAAAAATGCTAAATGTCTAAAATTAATAACTTTTTACTATCTGTTTAAATCAAGCACTTAAATAAGTCACAAAAAAATTCTATATTAAAAAAAAAGAATTTCCTATTAATGGCAAACAAAAAACTACCTTGTGAATGTTTTCATTCCTAATTAAACATATATTACAATATATTTGTTATCTATATTTCAATAATTTATATTTTATCTTTTGGTACATTTTTTAATGTATTACAACATTTTTCTACCTTTTTGAGGAAGTCATTTTTGAAACACTTTGTAACCCATTTGTGTAACATTACAACATTTTGGTGGATTTTTAGAATCATAGATTATGTTTGAGGAAATTGGACGATGTTGTCATTTTGAGCTTATTTACATTTTGGCATCTTCCTGTGCAGACGATTGTCAACTGAAATTGAATTTGACAAATAATTGTTACTTGTTGCTTTGCCTTGTGAAACGTGTTGCATAAAAACGTTTACACATGTAGGATAACGCAGGGTGCCTTAATTTAAAATGACAAATGCTTAGTTAATGTTAAACTCATAAGGTGTCTTTACTGAAGTTAGTTTCAATTCGGTAATGACACTGTGGACAGCACAGTCTGTGGCAAACAAAATAGATAAACTGTGACAGGATCAGGTTTTGGAAGGACTATTTCCTAAACTGAATTGACTTCAACAGAGAAGCGGTGTGTCTTTAGTCAAATCTAACTACTTAGAGTTGCAAATTTAATATAATTTAAAAACATTTGGCAATCATTACACTACAAAATTCACAAAATTGCAGTTCAGTCATTCTTTCCGGGGACAGGGAGAAAACAACGAGAGAGAAAAAAACAGGATAAATTCTGATGATGATCTTTCTTCCAGTCATTGCCAAATTCCCTCAATAAAAAAAATAATAATTTGGCTACTACATTATTGACCTCCATTCAAATCACCTATAGAGGATATAATAATAAAAGATTAAACCACAGCCTTTTCATGTTGGACTACAACACATTAGTATTGTATGCATGCTATAATGACAAGGTCATGTTGCATGAGAAAAGGGGTGTCTTCGGTGATGATGGACGGGCATTACACCCAGAGTCCCTTAATTTGAACTCCTATGTTTATCACTTATAAATACTCAGACCCGTAATAGTCTCTATTATATGGAATGACCTTAGATGAAACTGCACATTCAGCTGTACAACAACTGAAGTTTGGACTCATTTCTCCACTATCAAAGACAGACTGCTGAGATAACTGTCTCCATTAGATGAAAAAGAACTTGTCGGGCGGCAAAATAAGTTCAAGGCTTTCAATTTGAATCTAATAATACGCTGCCAGTGCCTGCATAGTGTTTATGGTGTGACTTAAATAACCCATCGCGATAGCATGTGGCTAATCTCAATTTAAAACTCCTACAGTGTATAATAAGGAACCACTGTGCGTTTATCTAAAACATATGTGACCACTGTGGGTTATAAATAAGGTGAGGTAAGGTAAGATGATATATAACACCATACAATGACTTCTTCCTTTTTTGTGTGTTCTTTTTTTATTGTCTACGCAGAAAAATTAAATATTTTAATATTATATTATAAAATGATGCTATTATACTATAATATTCTAATTAAAAGGTGAGGTGATGTCAGGTTACAACAACATACGACTGCAATTCTCTGTCTTTGCTTCATACCAGCAATTTAAAAAACACAAAACAGAATTGAAAATACATAGTTGAATTTGAATAGCTGTTGAATTTCCAATATTTCAGAATCCACTTTCAATTGATATGGAAATTTCAAAGACATTTGACTAACCACTTCTTTTTTTTCTTATAGATGAATTGATAGTGACAGGAAATGTTAAAGGCAAACGTAAGAATTGTTCCACTTAGGTTAAGTTTCCAGACCGATGCATCTTAACGGTGCGGAACCCTGCTAAGCGCTGGCGCACCCCGTCTGCAATCACAGGTTCGAGCAGGTGTTGTGTTTGGTTTTAGTCATAAAGGACAGAGTCATTAGCGAACATTAGCTGCGCCATTGTCGGCATCAGTCTGAGAGGATTTCTTTAGCGGCAGGGAAAAGCAGGTACGCTGTGAAGTACAGCTCTGTGTAGACATGCAGACACATAACACACTAAAGGCCAAACCTTCATTATCACCTAAGCTTTCTATAAGCAATCCGCAACATGGGGCTGTATTTTAGCCAGAGACATTGGGGAGTAACAGCCCTGGGAGGCAATGTAAAAAAAAATGGATGAAATAAATTAAAGGCATTAAAATGAATTAAACAGGATTAATCACTTATTTATCAAGTAATTAAATCTAAATTTAATTACAAGGTTGACAAAGTCACAAGGTTTTTGTGTTAATTGACAACAACACTAAACAACAAATTAACTTTAACAATGATGTTCATTTTACAGTATTTTTATCTATCTGTGCAATAGTGCGTACTCATTGTCCAATACAGCCCACCAAATAATCCAACCTGGCCCACAACTGGATTCCAAAATGAACAATAAATAATAATTAAACATTTTCAGGTTCTGGTATTTTTCGGTTAATTTGATAAACATACATAATTATTTTTTTACTGCATAAAATGCCTTCCATTGCGGCTGTAATAAGAGCCAACTGCATCGTAATTTCATTGTGATGTGAATCTATCTCGAGTGCCTCTGAAAAATATAATTGGTGACCCCTGATGTAGTGTATTGTGGGCTGGGTACACTGTTTGCCTGTAAGGTTGTAGCTAAAATTAGCTTTGACGTTAATGCTCATAGCAATATGTTCTGATATGATCTGCAGGCTTAAACTGCTGATGTGATAAGAAAACTCTCTGCTGCACACTTTCCATACCGCTGTTGTTACACCATGTGCAGCATGTGAATCAAACGATACATGTAGCACAAGGCACAAGGCCAGGTTCAAACAGGACAGTCCGAATGCCACACAAATGCATTAATGTAGAAGTGCTAACTTTCATTTTGATATTTTTTTTACAAAATTAAAATGTACTTTTACTGACGGAAATAAAAAAGTACATGAGAGAATACTTGCTGACGTGATTGGGAGAGCCTCTTGTACGGTTCATGTCTCTGCTGAAATCACATTGTCAAGATCCTTGAATTCCTAACTAGTGCACACCTTCTCCGCTGTCTCATCTAATCAAATTTGTTACAAGTTACTGGACGTTAGTTCTCTGAGTGCGAATATACAATGTGTTGTGCAGTAGTCACATCAGGGCAGGAAATAGGACAGAATGTTTTGAATGTTTTGTTGGTCCATGTCATATGACAAGACAGAAACAAAGACCCTCTTTTTACAGACCTGAAATAGACATAATTGGTTCCTATTCAGCTGAGCTTCGGCACCAAAGGCAAAGTTCCATTTGGGCCATGAACCCAGACACCCACAGCAATGTTACCACTGGACTTAACTAGACTTAACGAGGACAGTCGCAGTAACTTCGAGACTGCAAGAATAAAATTTGTAAATAAATTAACTCTAAAAATCTACTTCTTTTCTTATTCTTATCATTCTGAAGGGATGAAGAACCATTACCACGATTGGTAATGGTGTTTTCAGTTATATCGGTAATGTGTGTCAATCTTTCACCGCGTGATACCGTTTTGCTACAACTAGCTTGTTCTTGTTCGGCAGTTCAGTGTCTCTTTGGCCCTCCCCTTCCCCTGTATCCTAACAAACACAGAACATGCATGCCTGCTCGCCCCCCGCTCCATCGAGAGCGCAGAGTTAGCCTTGTTTTAACGATACATTAGTGTTACCAGTGAGATCGACAACAGCACTGCTCCGTTATCCAACTGAATTCTATTCTATTCCATGGGACCACTGCCTTTCTCTAAAACTCTCCTTCAAATGCCACCCTGCTGTCATCAGATGATTGACAAATAACAAACAAAAACGCTACCTATGCGTGCGTAGGTGCATGTATATCCAAGTGTGCTTGCGCGGGCTCTTGTTTTCATAATTATGGGAAGCTAAAATTTTAATCAAAATCAAATATCGATGAATCCCCCTGCCTTTCTGGTCTATTATTATTATTATTATTATTATTATTATTATTATTATTATTATTATTATTAATATTATTATTAGACTTCTAAGCAGAACTAGAAGGCATAAGTGTCAAACTGAGGCTCAAACTAGGCCTGCAAGATGAGATTTGTAGTATTAGCGATGTATGCACGATCTTATAGGACATACATTTTTGGGTTTTTTTTTTTTTTGTTGGCCTGTAAAAAAAGATTTACATTAAAAGAACTCAAAGACATATGAGAAAGGAATACCACTGATGAGTGTCGTTCGTGAACGATTCGTTCAATATGAACTCGGGAGTAATAAGTCCTCTCAGTGAGCGACTTGTTCACTTTCATGCACTACCTCCTGTCGCCACACGGCAGGCAGCTGCAAAAGTCAGTCAAAAGTCTGTCAAAAGTCTGTCAGCAGGAGAGAAAAATGATTAGTTCAAAACTCTTTTTCGTTCACGTTCATCGGATCATTCATTTGTGACAATATGCTCGGGCTGCACAGTTTTGTGCTCGTTCTTGTTCATCCGACTCGTTCATTTGTCACGTGACAGGAAGCTCGGAATGAACGCGTCTTTTCGTTTCACATGTTTCGAATTGCTTGTGGCATTTTGTGTATTATTTATTATTAATTATTATTTATTACTTTGTTAGCTGAAGCAAACCATGTAGCCTGGAGTATTTAGTGTTTGATAACCGCGGACCTCTTTACAACACCAACACAAGAGGGCTACAGCGCCAACTGCTGTAAAAATGAACAAAATGACTTATTCAAGATTCGTTCAATTTACTGTTCGAGAGTAAAAGAGCCGAGTCAATAAAAAGACTTGGTCTTCCCAACATTATTTCTCATGTTTATATAATATTAAGCTTTGGTCATTCCAGATTAAATGTTTACGCAAAACTAAAGTTTGTTTCCAGATGAAAAAAATCAACATTACACATCTGGAGAGAAGGAAAATATGCACATTACCAATCAATTTTTCAATAAATATTGAGTTTGGCCGGCGACTTCATCCCAGTATTTAATTTTGGCCCACTGTGAAATTGAGTTTGACACCCCTGTAGTTAAAATTGTAAAAACGCTTTAAAAAGAACGTGGAAGGGTATAAATGACTACATGAATACTTCATGTCCACCCACACTTTATGGAGTGTAAATATTTGTCATCTGAGAAAATACTTCCAGTGCTACTACAGCTATAGCCATGGGGGATGTAGCTCAGTGGTAGAGCGCTTGCTTCGCATGTAAGAGGTCCTGGGTTCAATCCCCAGCATCTCCACTTCTTATCTACCCATCAAAGCAAACAGGAGCCTGCTGTTTTTTTCTGAAATTACCAACCAATAAAGTAAAATGTGCGCTGCAGGGGGTTCTGTAAACAAACCATAAAGCCCTGGTTATGTTGGTCCGCTTCACGTTTTACTAAGACAAAACCTGTTCTTCATGGATAAATAAAAATTGCATCATGGTCTTTATCCACATCTGAGGTGACGGTGCTACCATATCTGCCGTTAACTCATTACTTTTACTCCACTTAAATAGAAACCCTGTGTACTTGACTTATATCTTCATTTCTGTTTCCATTTATAGATTTTATCACACAGAAATGTCTCAACCACTCACCCAAAACGAAGCGTATTAATAGTACAAATTCTGGTATTTTTGTGCAGTACATCTCGTAACATATTACGTGTAAATGTGATACCGTCACAGCTTTGACTTGTTTTTCCATTCCATCTTTGTAAATCGATTGACACCACTGCAGCTCAGCAACTGCAAAATTGTTCGCGATAGCAAGTTGTCAAGTGTTGAGAACATGACTGATTTAGATCAACTTTCTAGAAAACGGTTACTAGCCGCTCTCAGAAAGTTGTTTCTGAGAAGTGACAGGGAGGGGAACAAAAACTATTAGCCTGTCTTCATGCATTGATATAACCTTTGATGATCATTTTGACGTGTTTTGGCGTTTGTTGAGTTTCACTGCAGCGCACAGAGGCTTTGGAAGCAAGGGGGGGAGATCCATCACATGCCCAATACAGATGGAGCAGATACGGTAAAGCCCCGGTCCAGATCAGCAGAAACTCTGGTCTCTCTGCACCAACTGGCGTTTCACTTTGAAGACGCTTGATGCAGTCGCTGTTCTCTAATTGCACCAATATGTGCACGTTTTCCTTTCTGTCATGCAAAATTATCTTTAATGCTGTGAAGGTTGGATTTGCGTGACTTTTGATTGGATTACTATCAATCTTTTTAGTAGTAATGCGCGTTCAACTTCATCAAAACAGCATTTTAGAGCGTGTCCTCTAAAGGCAACGGCGACTTTTTCTGAATATTATATCTAATAGCATTGTATTTACTGCAAATATATGATTGTAGTGTTATTAATTTTGTTATTTTCATTTTTAAACCATCGTTTCGTCAACGCCACAGGTTGTAATTACTTCTTGGACTCACCTTTCCAAACTTCTGATGCTGCACATACAGTTGTCCTTCTTTAACGTGGGTGTCCATGCCCACTTAAAGTCCGCCAGATTCCCTTGTCCTCCACAAAGGCGAGACCGGACCAGAACTTGGCTTAAGAAAACAAGAAAATTAGTTTAATTCCTTATCTCAGCCCTCACAACTTCCCCTTCTCTCACTTCCGCCCTCAGCTCTTCACACGCATTGATAGTAAATGGTGAGAGACAGTGCAGGGTGTCATGGTTCGGTTGGAGAAGGTCCAAACGGTCTCTGTGTGGTCCCCACCAAGTTGCTCAACTCTGACTAAGTGTAGCCGCCGGGTCGCTACTTCGTTCTCCTCACTCTCTCTGTGTGAGGCTGAAGCAACCACAAAGTGGAGGCTTGAGGATTTACACTTCTGGTTTCCATTTCAAAATAAAACGCCGAATAGTTCACTCAATTTTCAACAGGCAATTTTAAAGGCAATCGAGTGGTCATAAAAAACTTTAACATAAAACGTAAAACATTCACGTAAAAAAAAATCACACATTTTACTACCGTGAAACACGAAATGGGAAAACATCACCAATAAGGGAAAAAATTAAAAGAGCGAGACTAATAGTGATTAAAAAAATCTTTCAGACTTTATCAAATTCCTTCAGAAACTCAGAATTGGTAAACATGACTTGAAAACTATAAGGACTTGACTTCACTGACAACATGAACAATGGTGACTTGACTAACCCAAAGTTCAAACCTTAAATCAGTTACTTAGACCAAAAACCAAAACAATGAATCGCAAGATGCAGACCTGACCCACATTTATTGTGTTACTCAGGATTAGCCTCTAATACACGCAATCGAGATTTAAGATTAATTAAGACTTAAACGTCCTCTATGACTCAATTCTGACTCTAACTTAAAATAGAAGTTTGGATGTTAGACTCAGTTGAGAAGGACTTAAAACCACAACTAAGACTTGATTCAAACCAGATCTTGATATTTTTTTGACTCGGGATTGACTAGAAAACAGTGAGAATTAAAGTGAAAAATAGTAGTTTAACATGTTTTTAACCTGAGTAAAACAACAGACAAAGAATTAAATGCTCATACTGTTCATCAAACTTACTTCTGCTGTGATTTAGCTGTTTCTAGTGTTCTGCGATACCCAGAAAACTAATAATATTTACTTAATGTAGGCTTTTGTTTTGAAAGTAAGGCATCCGTTTCCAGGCGGCTGTATGTGGCTTTACACGGCTGCAGGAGGAGTGAGAAGCGCGTGTTGAGCACAGGGAACCGCTCCTCTTCAGTCTGTCTCTCCTCCTCCTCCTCCTCCTCTTTACTCTTGTGTAACTTCTCTCTTGGCTGCAGTCTTTATCGACTCACTCAAATACTAACCTTGAGCTGCGTGTAGCAGATGATTTACAGGACCTATTCAAAACATGTGATGATAATTATGACATAAATGATGTGATGAACCTGAAAGATTATTATGAACTGAAAGGATTCACTTACCATCACTGCAAGATAAGACCGACTAAAGACAAGTTTTCAAAAATCTGAAAAGCATAAAAGTCATTTTTCAAACCGTTTTTATTGTCAAACGGAGCAGGCCAACAGTCTAATGTGTTGCAGATGCCTCCTGCTGGCTCGCCCTGTCACTTGTTTCCAGCCTATGACTAGATGGTGCTAAACCTCTGCCAGTGTTCTCTTCCACAGTGAGAGTGGATTTTTTAACCATGAGTCACTAAATCGTTTAAAGAAGTGGTCAGGGTTTCTCAAGAATTCTAAGCCTTTGGTGATGTTAGGTTATTTAGTTTCTATCCTATCCTAAACACTGGAACCACCTTAAACAGAGTTAGGTGCTGTTTTGTAAAATCAGACAAATAAACAAAAAAACACCTAGAAAACAACAGAGAACTTTGTAGGTGCGTAAAAGTAATTTTAATAATTGCATTTTTGACCTACGTGTCGGAACACAATTAATTCCAAGAACGATATCTCTGGTTCCAAATGCTTTTATACAAAACGGGTGATTTTAAAACAGACGTTGTATTTTTACCTAAACAGACACAAGTTAAAATATTTTACATCATAAAAAACATGACTTTCAAATCTCAAAGAAGAAATCCGAGTATACGGTTTTAAAATAATTCCACAACTCCTCCCAGATTTGATGCTGTGTTTTCAAATACATTGATCTTAGTTTAATTTATTTTCTTTTAGCAATACGGTCAGTAGTTTAATCCGGCCAGGCGATGCCATGTACTTGAACCCAACAAGTTAGGAAGTCGAACGAAAGTTGTCGTAATTTAAATTTTAAAAAAAGAAAGAAAGAAAAAAGAAACAATTGAACAAATAAGCTCCAACCTTACGTTACCTTCATTTAACTAATATTTTACTTTGGCTTTGATTTTGTATTTTTATTCAAAACTACAGCCATTGTAATTTTATTTTTCAAAAACGCAGTTTACCTTGTTTAAGTACTAAACTCCTACTTTCTCTTTTTTTTACGATTAAACTCTAGCTGTAGCTGTCGTGTCAAAAACATTGCTGCCATCTACCGGCAAATAATTGACATTGAAAAAGGGAGTTGAGCTACTGACTCTCGCGATATTTGTAGATTTCGGCTGCGTGCTGATCACAAACAGGAACAGGACATGACATTAGTGTTCGGAGGTGTAGAAGGGTAAGAAAGATTACAATTTACAATAAGAAACGTTTAATTGCTCGACGTAAATCTATTAAATTGTGCGCTGACTTGTTTGTATACGGTGGACATTCTTAATTTAAGTAAGTGTAGTCGTTAGTAGTGGAGTATATGAACTGAATTAACTTTAGAGTCAGGTGACTACTATCTAGTCACCTGACAAATTGACAAATTATGAACTTTATTAACTAATTATTATTTTTCGATACATATAACCAAGACAGTCGTGTTTTATATCTTAAAGTACACATGTATTAATGTATGGTATTTCATTAAAACTCGTAGTTTTTTGTTTGTATTTTGTTTTATTTATATATATTTCCAACTTTTCTCACAACCCATGTCTCATGTCCGCAGTGGAGGGACTCATTCCAAGGCTGTTCTGCTGTCAGAAGATGGAAAGATCCTGGCAGAGACTGAGGGATCATCGACCAATCACTGGGTGAGCTGACAGACATAATTAGATTTTTTTTTAAAGGAGCAAAATATATAAAGTGCAAACTGTTTATTTTAGCCTTGTAGGCCTTTTTAGCTTGTAACTTTAACTGTTTTCTTTTCTATCCTTTACTCCAAAACCCAAATATTAGCTAGCATCCTTCTAGTAAAAAGTTTACTACTACAACAAAGATTTGGTTTCAAGCAGACAGCTCTTACTTACTTGCTCTTTGTCTGTGTCTTCAGTTGGTGGGAGTTGACAAATGTATTGAGACCATCAATGACATGGTGCAAAGAGCCAAGGTAGAGGCCGGACTGGATCCAAACACACCGCTGCGTTCTCTGGTGAGTCAAAGTGTGGTCTACAGAAGCACATTACGTAACCTCGTAGTGACCTCTGTTGGGGTTCTTTCTGAAACACAGTGAATAATGAACATGTATGTGTGAGTGTAGGGCATGTCTCTGAGTGGAGGAGAGCAGAAGGAGGCCATAGACAAACTCATTGCTCAGATGAAGGAACGTTTCCCCAGTCTAAGCCAGCACTACTTCATCACCACAGACGCTATTGGTGCAATGGCAACTGCTAGCAATTGTGGTTAGTAGAGATTATTTTTAATAGTTAGCATTTCTGTGCTACGGTAATTAGTTTCAGAATATGAAATATAATTTTAAATTATACATAAAATACCTTCCTATCTTCAAGTGTATTTCTTTCATTAAAACAATAACTTTGTGACTTATATAGACTAAGGCCTAACATGCACTGTCACATGTCTATCTCTCTATAGGAGGAATAGTATTGATATCAGGAACAGGCTCCAACTGCAAGCTAGTAAATCCTAATGGCTCACAAGTTGGCTGTGGAGGCTGGGGTCACATGATGGGTGATGAAGGGTCAGGTAACCAGGAGCAGACAAACAGTAAAAATACTTCTTATTTACTGTTTATAAATTCAATTGTTTATTAATTTTCTGTTTTTTTTAAAGCATTCTGGATCTCTCATCTAGCAGTGAAGACTGTTTTTGATGCCAGAGACAAGCTGGTGTCTCCTCCTCATGACATAGAGCATGTCAGAAAAGCCATGGAGGAATATTTTGAGGTAAGGCTTCAACTACACTTATTAAATTGACGTCAACACACAAGTTCACCTAGTTTTTAACAAAATCACCCCAGGTGTCAGGTCTAATGGGGATGTTGCCGCATCTCTACAGAAACTTCCAGAAATCACACTTTGCTGGTTTCTGCAAGAAGCTGGCTGAAGGTTGGTGTTGCTTTATGTTCTCATAAGGTCTGCTTAGAGCAAATTTAAAACAGAAAAAAAGGTAATTCTGTGTTTTTAAAGGCGCAGAAGCAGGCGATCCTCTGTGTCAGCATTTGTTCACTGAGGCTGGGAGAGTCCTGGCCAAACATGTGGTAGCAGTGTTACCTGCAGCACAGGAGGTAAAGAACTTTGACACAGAGCTTTGTTTTTATTGACTGTGAACACTGACTGATAAGATGCCATGCTGTCTGCAGCCCCTGTTGAGAGGAGACCGTGGCCTCCCTATACTGTGTGTTGGTTCCGTATGGAAGAGCTGGGAGCTTCTTAAACCTGGTTAGTTTCACATCATGACACTCAGATGAGTTACTGGCAGAGGCCTTGTTCAGGCGTGAACCTGAATCTCTTCATCTCTAGGCTTCACTGAGGTGTTAAGGGAAATTGCATCATCGGTTGGGCTTCGAGGTCTATTCCATGGGTACACCCTCCTCAGTCTACGCCAGTCTTCAGCAGTTGGTGGCGCCAGTCTTGGAGCTCAAAGTTTAGATGCCAAGCTATCTATGGACTACAGCGCCAACACTAACGTCTTCTACAAACACACCTTCAACAGCAGTAAAACCTGTGAGTGAGGTGTCAGTCACCCAGTGGGATAGATTGCCATTAGGCAACGACGATTACTGACATCAGTAAAACTGAGGAGATTTTCTTTGATTCAGCAGTCATTCCAAATATTGTCCTTGCCATTTACTGGGATCAGAAACTTCAGAATTCTTTTCCAACTGATTATATGTTTAAAAATTGTATCTAATATCTTTTAAATAAAATGTTTGCATGACAAAAATCTCAAAAGAGACTCTGTCATAACTGGGTTATTTGATTAATATAGGACATTTGCTCCATCCAAAGAGCAATACCTTCGTCATATTTGTAGACTTAAACAGAACAGTCACAGTCCATCGTCACTTATACCGAGTGTCAATATACAAATACAATAAAATGGGACAACTGATTTGTCTTTATAACCTTTATTCATCTTTTTTCATCAATTTTATTTGTACTGAATTTCAGTGTGTCTTCTGGACCTCTGTCTTCAACGGCTGTCTCAAAACTCAAAACAAGAAATCACCAAAAATGATTTTCGTGTTGTACAATCCACCTGGCGGACATTCCCAATGGCTTCACCTGGGTGCCTTTCCACAGCCTCACACAACACTGTGAGGAAGTTCCCTTTAAACTGCATGCTCATCATCTCTGTTGCAGACCGCATGAGTGGAAACGAGTGCTCTCATCTGCCAGATACTACAGTACAAAGTGCACAAGTCTGTACCAAAACACAAAGTGTTATGGTCACAACAACAGAAATCTGAGGCTAGACTGACAAACCTGCTTTATATGACGAGAGCTGCAAAGAGATCAACACACTGTTGGCCACATGTCCCTGACTTCTATACTGACAGGCTGTAACAAAACAGTTTCCTCACATTTCCTTCTACTAACAGGCCTGAAGTGACACCACAGGCTACTGTGCCCAGCAGAGACACAAAACGCCTCTTCCTCAAAACCACGAAGGAAATAAGAAAAAAAAAAAAAAAAGAAGAAGAAGAGGAGAGGCGAGTGGAGAACCTGATTTGGATGTAGACACTTGATCTGGTGCAGGACAAATCAAAGTTGTTCTGGCAGAAAGAGGCAATGGCTCTGTTCCAGACTAAATACTTTCGTCACAAGTCATAAGGAAAATGCAGACTTCAGAAACACACACACAAAAAAAAAAATCAATGTTTTTTATTGAACTTCAAAACTCTGACCTTTACTTTAAATTCACATATTCATTGCCAAACTGAACAATTGCGAAACTAGCGTCTTTATTTCTACGAATACGATACAAACATGAGTTTTCCACATTAACTGGGGAAAATAATGACTTACGGGCTTTGTCGCACACTCATGTTTGTTTCCACCACTGAACACTAGAGGTGACACTGGCTGTATTTGGTTTGGAACTGAGCCACTGCTGATACACATAGCTTGCATCTCTCTATGTACAAGAGCTGTGAAGTCACAGGGAGCTTATGACATCATAGGAGCTATAGTCTTAACGGACGTGAACAACCGCCTTGGTTCTGCAGAGCAGCAGATGCCCATTGAGTCCCCGGAAGTGTAATTCCTTCTGACCTCACTCTAATAGAAATCCTCCCTTTCATACGAGGTGGTTCTTAGTTTTTCTCAATTTGACAGCAAATTATTTTGTGAAGTTAGGAGATCTAAAGATGGTTTTATTTTAAAGACTTGACAACACTCCTTGATAGCTGCCTCGGTTCAAAAGGAGACTCAAATGAGCGCCAAAACTCTGCAGAAGTCGGCGGCATCTTCTAAAAATGTAACGATGAGCTAGCACCCGCACTCAGGCGGTTCTGCTATTATATCCCCCTCACCCGCCCCTGATCCCAAATATCCCTCAGTTTACAAGCAAACAGGAAATAAAAAGAATAAAGAAACAAAAAGAGGGAAAGAAGTAAAAAGAAATCCCCCCACCCCCCGACTGGGCCTGCCCGCACGCCACCGATTTCATCTGTGTTTATGTAAATGATGATTGTGTGTCTGTGTGTAAGTGTTAGAGTCTCTGAGAATATACGAGGACTGGTGTGTGTGCACATGTGTGCGGGTGGAGGCTCCATGGGGGTGAGGGGGACTCCTAGTATTTCTTCCCCGGGACAAACTCCTTCGCCTCTGGATTCAACATGCTCTTCCTCTGCAAAAACATGAGGAAAAAAAAATTAACTCCATGACTTAAAATATTTAACAGCACTGTAAGTGTTTCTTTAAAAAAAGTGTTTCTTTAAATGTACTTGATTGTAACTTAAATCAATAGTTTCCTAGAAAAAAAAAATTCAACTTACTGCCACTTCCTCAAAGTTGCTGTGGTGATCGCTGACAGACAGGTTGTTGAGCTGCTGCTGCAGCTGGCCCACCCCCTGGTTGTTGAGGTCACGCGATGGGATGAACCAATCCTTGTCCTCTTCTTCCAGCATTTCCTGGAAGCAGCGCTCCATAAATTCCTGCTCCCACAGGTCCTCCTCCACCTGAGAAATGAAGTGGAGACAAAACAGCAGTGAGAACACAAAGCTCAGGGGAACAGGGAGAGAGGGGGAGGGACCGATCATATCACTGTGGTTGCACAACAAACAGGTAATGCATTTCCTCAAAAGAAATATGGGGGCAATATGAATAAATAAAGCTGAAAGAGCAGTAAATCATCACAGAAGGTTTAAAAAAAAACAATTGAGATTTAACAACTCTAACCATGTGAAACAAGAGATTAAGGTCAGAAGACAACTGTCCCTATTTCAGGAGACATGTGGTGGAACAGAATCATTTAATACAGTTCTGGTAAGCAGATGCTATCAGCACTAAGCTACTCTGAGAACAGGCAGGATGGAAAATGGGAATATAAGGACAGAAGAACAGAAAATAAGGATGGTGGTGTTGCACAGCAGGTAGAAGGAGAAAAAGGTTAAAGCATTTCAATTTAACCGGGCTCTTGAAAAGATCGGTCAACAAGTCACCCACTACTGCTGTTTAAAAAGAAAAAATGAAAAATTGAATTCATTCATGAGTCAAACGCAATTTTTTGGAGGCAGTAATATAGCCATGCACCTCTTCAAAGTCCATTGCTCATATCTGCAAACAATCACCAGCTTCAAAAACCTAATGTATAAATGTGTTTTAATTAAACAGTTTATAAGCTTATATATATATATATATATATGTATATGTACATATATGTATAAGCTCTAGAGCTCTGAACCATGTATAAGCTCTATAAGCTATAGAGCTTATACATGGTTCAGAGTGATATTAGACCAGGCAGTTCACCTGTGATCCCACTGAATCATTGACTTGATCCCTGCAAGTAAACACTACAAGGTGGTTCTTTGGACATGACATAACCTGGATGACTGAAAACCCACAAGGACAACGGGAGTAATTTGCATCAACCCTTTGTGATCACCTTAACTCTAGCACCCCTTATATTTGTACAATATTCATTATACAGTCATTAGAAATTAACTGTCCCATTTTTAAGACTAAACACACCTAAAAAAAACAAATTACAATTTTAAGCATCACAGTATGTAACAGCTTTGACTCTTGGGTGGCATGGCAAGATAAACCACATGTGGAATGTAGTTTGAGCAGTTTACTGTTAAGACAATTGTCAAAAGAGACCAAAGTTTGTCCGCATCTTTGAGTTAATAAGGGGGACATTTCACAAAAAGGTCATGACAATTAAAAGACTGCAGCATTTTGTTGTAAAAATGTGTCAAATGTTATAAAAAATTAAAAGAAAGCACATTAAGTCTTTTTTTTTAATGGGCTAACGACTCAAAACATTCACACAACACACACCTGTCTGTTATACTCCTCCTCATGCTCCATCCACATGTACTCAGCAAAAGGGTTTGGGTCGCTGCCCTCTCCTGCGTGTCCATTGGCCACCGGCTCCTTTCCCTCTTTCCCCTGAGCTTCACCCCCTGGTGTCTTGGCCACCTCCGGACCACTCATCTCAGCTGGCTCTGCATATAAGAAACAAAATGTTATCTTCATAATTCAGTTGATGGTTAACCTATTCCTTGTAAAAAAAACAAATCTTTTTTTTAATCCTGCATTCTTGGACATCAGATGACACAGATTAATTCAGCTTAAGTATTTAGAAGTACCTGACACTTCAAATGAACTAGAGCATGTTTAAAAATTAAATGTTTTATAGATTCTGTCTCCAAACGTGTGACGACAACGGATGATGAACATTCACACAACACACACCTGTCTGTTATACTCCTCCTCATGCTCCATCCACATGTACTCAGCAAAAGGGTTTGGGTCGCTGCCCTCTCCTGCGTGTCCATTGGCCACCGGCTCCTTTCCCTCTTTCCCCTGAGCTTCACCCCCTGGTGTCTTGGCCACCTCCGGACCACTCATCTCAGCTGGCTCTGCATATAAGAAACAAAATGTTATCTTCATAATTCAGTTGATGGTTAACCTATTCCTTGTAAAAAAAACAAATCTTTTTTTTAATCCTGCATTCTTGGACATCAGATGACACAGATTAATTCAGCTTAAGTATTTAGAAGTACCTGACACTTCAAATGAACTAGAGCATGTTTAAAAATTAAATGTTTTATAGATTCTGTCTCCAAACGTGTGACGACAACGGATGATGTTGAGGAAAACTTGCCAAATCCTTTAACACCCACAACAAGCGCTGAGGATTCATTGACATTTTACGACTGCGATCAGTTGTTAAACAGTTTTCCTGGTTGTTCAAATGCCGTGGTCTACAAAGCCACAGTGTGTTGTTACCTACAATTAAGGCTTGTGAAGACTGTGCTTATGAGAGTTTATATAAACAGTGTGAAGTGAGCAATTCAAGGACACTGAATACAGGCAGAGGTCAACTGTATAAAGCTAGAAACATGTTTTTTTAAATTCAATTTTATATATAGGTCTGTTTACTGTTCCGTTCGCATCGTTGCTTTTTGTAAGTTTTGGCATGAATGAAACCATGCCGTCCTAAATCTAAAGCCAGTGCAGATGTGCCTTTAAAACAGTGTTCTACTTTAACATTAAATATTGCAACATAATTGCAGACAATCAGTAACTTTTTACTTTGGAAACACATTCATAAAAAGATTAGAGCATCATAAAAATTGCTGCATGTGCTCAAAAAAAACTGCACAACTCACATCTCAAAAAGAAGCTGTACATTCTTGCAGTAATATAAATAGGAACAAATCTATCACACACACAAGGAGAAACACTTTGCTATAGAGATCTCTACCCCACAAATAACACAAACAGTTTTGAAACAGAGACCATGCCAGGTATCGAAGTTATATTTGGTTTACTTGCAGTTTTCCCCCCCGACACATTTCTTCTTTCGGCGGGAAAGTCACGTCTACACCTGACCTTTCTGGGTGGATTTACGACCTGTGGCTGATGACTGGACATTACCACAGCTGCACGTAATCCAAACACCTGCCCTTAAAATCTTGCACGTCCCACTTTTAGTGCCTGTGTTAACCTGTTTCTTTGTACACACTCGCAATCAAAAGGCAACACAATTCATCCCAAATGAATATAATGGGAAAGATTCTGCAGAACAGCTATGGCTCATGAACCCAGTTGTAAATTCGACACCAGTCATTTCAACCGTGGTCGTCATAATGTAGGACAGTCCCACTTCTAACACAAATACTGTCAAATGTCGATAGCCTGATATCAGGGTGAGAAATACAGGCTTCAGTTCACTTTTAAAACAGTAAAATACCACCAGCGAAACCTCTGACATTGTCCAGGAGCATCGCTGATTATATAAAGAGACCGGACAACATGGGTCTATCAGCTGCAACATTGAACTGCTATTTTGAGGATATGAAGCCTATGATGACATAATGCTGAGACAGCCAGCTTTAACACACTGGTTATGACTCAACTGTGGCAACAGAGGGAGGAGGGAAAAAGGGGAAATGATGACCTCAAACAGGCTACACACATGGCTCCTGGATTAGGCTCAGGGTTCAAACTTGTTTGACTTGCAGGGAAGGACTTCGGCCATGAACCGAGTCCTTAACAGAGTAATGACCTAGTTTCCAAAATCAGAATATGGTGTTATTTTGACATCTGTTTGTGGCCTTTTCCTACTTGTCACTGTGCCAAAAAGTCAACACAAGAAGAAAACTTGACACAAGTGAATTTGCTACTCCCTTGAGGCAGTTCTAATAAACCCGAATAATCTATGCAAGTTGGAGGCATTTGTATCTGAGGTTGCTGATAAAGAACAGCAATTATCCACCTAAGATTTCTATCAATAGGTAAATAGTCTAGAGGGTGGGAATAGTCTAGAAGAACCTTTTGTGACACTTCGTTCTAACTTAGCATCTTCGTAGTGTTAAATGTTATTTTTGTTTCAATTTGGCTAGTTTTGAGTCAATACCAAAAATGATTAATACACTGTCAAGGAAACAGCTATGAAAACATTTTGGGGATTTAGGATGTTGACCTTGACCTGCTGATTCAGAAGAAAAGAATACTATAAATACATAATGATAAAGTAAACAGCTGCATTCAAATCAATTTTAAAATAATCTTAAATCAACAAGTTGCCTAATCTCTTTGGATAACACCGGGACAAACAGAGAGTAATAGGCAAAAAAGTCTAAGAAAAGACACACACAGGGAGCAGTGAACCATTCTGTACAGAAAAGAGCACTTAACCTGTTTATGTTACATAACCATTTCGAGGTCAGCATATAATATTCAGTTGCTGAAGATGAGCCATGCCTAACCTGCTCATTCGCTTGTGAGTAGAGTGTGATTTGGTTGCAATCACTGCTGCAAGGTATAAACATTCTGCATCATTTCATTTAAAAATATAGAAATTGTGGGAAAAAGAGAAAGTTATAGGTGTGTCTGTGTAAAATTATGTTTTCATGTACTTTCAGTAATTGCATTAGTACATGTTTTTGGCTCTTCCCCCAGAGTAAGATTATAAGAAATTTGATGACAGTGTGTTATTTTGTATTTTCATATATCTTCTATTGTTTAGTCCTTTCCAGGGCCACAGAGGAATCCCAGCAGCCATTGGGTGTGGGCCAGGTTAAGCCTGGATAGTTTGCAAGTCTACTACGGAGCAGCATACGAAGATAAATAATTGTTCATATAAGGGTCAATTTAGAGTTTGTGTTCTGACTGTTGGGTGAAAACCGAGTACAGTACACAAATCACAAGCACAAACAAGGAGAACATGCAACCTCCATACAAACCAGTGGATCAAGCCAGTGCACATCACGAGCACTAAACACTCATCCACTGTGTGACCAAATGTCATATTTTAAGGTTGTCAAATATCGCACGAAAGCAAAATAAACTTTCAGCGCCATCTTGTGCCATAGTTCACTAGAATGTTCAGTGAACCAGGTGAAATATATCGTGCCAGTTCAAGTATTCAAGAAACTGACACGATGACAAGATTAGTTACAAGTTAGATATCATCAGTTGCAGTCTACAGCCCTGGACTATACAACAAAAACCCAGTTCCTACAATTACATTTCAGGAAAATAAAATGTGTTTTATAAAGTGTTTTATATCTGCCTAAAAAAATTGAAAATACATAATGGAGAAAAATAACATCTAGCTTAACACACAAATGTGTTTTTTGTTATAGGTTTGTTTAAAATGTAAATGTATAATGTATAATTATTGGATAGTTACATGCCAGATGTGCAAGTTGTTTACATAGCCTTTGTGGTTATTTTAAAGATATTGCCTAGATTATTGCTGAACACTTGGATGTCTTTTCAGCAGTCTCTTAGAAATTGACAAGAATGACAAGTTAACACCTTCACATAACACAAATTCATTGTAGACACCGCCATTGAAAAAATCTTGACCTACGTGAGGCATCAACCTCAATATAATTGAATCAGTTTTGTATCACCTAAACAGGCAGCGAATAAAGAAGCACTCAAACACACCTGAAAATAACGGGGTTAGAGTGTTTTACTGACTTCACAAACTGTTTCAGAAGAATTCTATGCAGTAGATGTTAATAGCCCAGTTGAAAACGTTAATGCATCTTAAAAGTGTAATTGAGGTAAGCTACATTTTGAATGTTATTGTAGGAGTTCTTATTCAGCAATAACGATTTTTAATACTTCTTTAACAACAGTATATCATTTGTCCTACTTTTAACACACATACAAGGTGCACAACTACAACACGGCAAACGTATATTCAACGTGCATAAAACGGCAAACAGTGGTGTATTTTGCACAAAAGATGACCATTTACACTGACTGATCCGTTGCCACATTATGTAACGCAACAGTTTGTGCAGTTTGTTACTGACGCGTCGTCGTGGCTTCTACGGCGGAACGAAGCTAACGGGGCTGCTACACCAGGTGTCAGGGCCTACCTGGAAACTTGGCTGAAAAGAAATTGACACCTTTAGCTGATGCGGTGCTAAGCGGCTAATACATATATGTAGACATACGTAGCTGTCATTTAGCGGGCCTGAGGTGAAAACTATACAAAGCAACAACAAAGAGCAAAGGGGTTAGACGGCCCTAAACACTTATTCTCATTTAAGCCGTAAAGTGTTCGCGCCTGAAAACGACTACCGGGAGAAGACGATACTTGGATTAAAAAATAGACAGCTTGTGCGCCGTGCATGCGTTTTATAACCGAGGTCACACTCTGGTCTCATTTGAATGTTGTAGGCCAAGCAAAGTGGTGCGTTAGCACGCTGCTAAAGCATGGCAGCATCAGTGAAGCAGGTCAACAAAACAAGCCCCCGCTCCGGGGATTACGACACTCTAGCAATCTAAACACACATACACTATTGAAACGACACGACGTTTATATATAGCTACCGTGTTAATGACATTACCTGGCATTTTACTCGTGTTGTTCACTTTTAAAGTGGAGCGTTAAAGAAACTTAAAGCAACTACACCACAAAGAGTGTCCGTCCGTCGTCTCTCCGTGCTATGCCGAAGCTGCTGCAACGTAGCTCTATTTAGCTAAATCCTGTTAGCCGTATTGCTAACTCTGGAAGCTGGTCACGTGTGCTATTGACGAGTTCATAGGCGAATAAGACCGTAGGAATTACGAATGTCTTGATAATTCAAAGCACGTACCACAAAGACACACAACCATAGAGACCGTTAATTCAACGTCTTAAACCATTATTTATTGAGAATGGCGTTTTACTTTGTTTAGATTATCTAAATTAATTTTATATAAATTTGTTCGAATATTTTTCAGCCAGTGCGAAGCATGTACAGTTCAATACAAAATGATTCAATCTAAAAGATAAACCTCAGATTGAATTTTAAGGTTTATTTGACACCACGGATTTGTTTTCTGCCTTGATAAATTGTTTTGTTTATGCACATTGTGATGCAGATGTGTACCCGCAATAGCACTGAAATATTTCAGTGATGCAGTTTAAAAACTTAGAAAAACACAAACTAACACAATAAGTGTTTTTTGTTTTTGCAAAAAGATTAAAAAATATATATTTATATGTTCCAATGACCAAAAACAGATGTAACAGATTTTGCAGATTTGCAAATGCTGCACCACAACATCTGGTTAAGTTTCATCACAGTTTTCACTAAACTATTATCCCCACAATGCCTCAACATTCACATTTAGATGGTGAATCCCCAGACTGAACTGAAGTACCAGTTCCAATGCACATGGAAAGAAAAACACTGTAAATCACTGACTCTTTTGTCTAAACTCCCTTCAGAAGAATTAGAACAAGAACAGAGTAAAACCTGCAAATGTCCTTGATCCTGTTTTAATTTCTTAATTTAAGTGCTTCAACTACAAACATCATACCACAAAAGAAAACAACGTCAAGCCTGAGATCCTTCTTCTCTGGTCAACAATTCCAGTTGTTAATGTTTTTAGTTATGGTCTGTAGTGTGTAACTGCAGCTGACACTGGTTGCCCAGAATTATATAATGCATAATGTGTGGGGTTTTTTTCTAGTACATTTTGCAAAACTGATCCAGTATTGCATATCAACAACTGACTGCTGTTACGTTGATAATGTCGCTAAATTTAAAACAAAATGCAGTACTGCATATTGCACACAACCTTTTAGCCTTTTTACATTCTTTAAGTCAGATACCAAAATATCAACTTTAAGTCAGAGTGAAATTATATTCTCAAATATTAAAATATATTAGTAGTAGATTCTAGGTCAAATTCCACTTGCTATTTTTCAAAAACTAGTTAGCCCAGTAGTTGCTATTAATTAGTTAACCAAATAGGAAAATAGCATCAAGCTAATAAACAAATTACATATTGATAAAATGCCAAAATAGCTCACAGTTTGTAAGTTATACAGGAAGAAAAGTTATGCTTTGTGAAGTTATTTATTCATATCATAGTTGTATGATCCACCAATGATTACCAATGATTTAGGTCAGTGGTCCTTGACAGGGGTCAAGGATGCAGGAGGTACTACAGGGGTCGTAAAATGTTATGTTCATTAGCACATGTATACGATATTAACATGGATACACGAGGCTGTGGAGACTGTATTGTCTAAATACCTTAGTGCTTACAGTCGTACGTTTACACATGGTACGAGGCACAATTTAATTTACAAACATTTATAAACGATATACCCAATTGAGGCAGATATATTTAGAAAAAATGTCTATCTATCTACTCTCGTGCGAGTCCTTGGCCTTAAAATATGAACGATGCTTGATAGAGGAATAATAGAACAGTTTACGTTGATTTAACAAGGCGCATTACCTTGAGGTCTTCAAAAAATCGGGGTTTAAAATGTGAGCATGAACGCAACGCGAGAGAAAACATCCCCCTACCTTCACTTTACCGAACAATCGCTACACTGACACTGTCATGCCTGCGTGGCTTCAAAATGTTAAAAAAGAGAGCGAGAGAGTCTGTGAAATAGTAAAAACAATATGAACAAATTATCCCCGGGTGCAGCTTCAAATGTTTGAGAAACCAAGTTGTCAATTGCTTAAGTCTGCCTCTCAAAAATGCTTAAAAAAGGCTCGAGAAAAAGAGACTAATTCTAGTGTTTGCACTGTGAAGCAGTGTCATTAAAAACAGCAAATATATCTTTTAGTATATGCGTTCTAATAAGCAGCTTGTGTTCTACACACATGTAGCTGGTGTTATCGTTTATAGGCCACTTCTACTCAAACGAACACTAATTGCTTAGTAATTAACATTGTTTGTACGTAAAGTCTCTTGTGTTGCCTTTCCCCCGTCATTATCGAGGAGAAATACCGTAATACACTCACCGGACAAGTTCAACAGCAGAATCCACAATCCAGTTGCCAGGACCAGGAGAAAACGGTTATTTATGGCCCCGAATATCACAATATCTCGATTTTGTTTTGTATATATTGATGATTTTAAAAAGTCTTTAAACACAATTTTTCATCGTAAATTTGCTATTTTTGTGTCTAAAAAAGTAGGTTATTCTAGTTTTTCTGCCAGCACGTTGGGACTGAAAAACAGTGTAGTCGTGGTCGTATTTGTCCAGCTGTGAAATCTACTCATTGGCTACACTTTCTGTCAGTCCATGTTTTTAACGATTCTATTGGTCTAAATTATTTTACAGCTCCGCCCAACTTTTGTTTCTCGTATGTTAACAAAATATAACTTACTTTCTTACTGCCCCCTTTATCAAGTGGTTAGCTGTTAATGATTGACAAAGGAGGTGACAGCCAACACTGGCCAATATTTCTACAAACAAACCTTCAATTCTGTTGTTTTCGGACAGTAAACATTACAGTGAATGTTTAAACACTTAACACTTAACAAAAAGTCTCTCAAAATTATATTGTGTGAACATTTGACGACACACTTCTCAGTGGCAATGAACCAGGCACATAGAAAATAAATCAGATTAATTAACAAAAAGTCTCTCAAAATTATATTTAAGTATGAAGTACTTGAGTTTTGTAAGTATTAAATTCAAGTCAAATTCAACCGAGTAGTCATTGACTTGAATGCTAAAATACGGTACTGATTCATATATTAAGTGGTTGTAAAACCATTTCTACATCACAAAGGTTTGTAAAATATCATACACCATGAATAAGAAATCTGCTGCTAAAAGTCACCTTAAAAAGTTGTCCAATATACTTCACTGTTCATAAAAAGCAACTAAATGTAATTCGTAGGGAAAACATGTATCTAGGTGTAGTTATATGTCTTTTTTTTTTCTTTTTTAACACTTTTGTATTATTTTCCTACTGAAGAGACCAGAATAAAATAAATATATATACACAGTATATGCAGTATATGCTTTGCTGGAAAAAGTAGTCGTCTGCCAACACTACCATCACATAAAAAATGTATGCAGTTCTAAAAACTAGGAGGATTGAGACACTCTCTATCTAATGGCATTACCACAACATTACAGGAGAGGGCGACTATAACTCCAGATACGCTGTGGTCCATCCGGTAACAATGGAGAGAAGCTGAAACAAAGGATAAAACGACTTCCCTCTGTTCACACTGCCTGATGTCGGTGTAGTGTTGAATGAACTTTGCAAAGCACTTTGAAGTGAATATCGTGTAGGTTGCCTTGAATGATACACACTATTAATGACAGCTGAAGGGACTACAGATTATTGTACATATGTTGGAATAAGTCACACTTTCATCTACAGGTGAAGAGAGACTCAGATTCTTAACAGGATACTTCAGGAGTTCCTTGAAAAAGATCAAATTCATGTAATTGCCTATTTATCAGGGAGTTTTCTTTAAGTAACTAAAAGCCATAAAACTATGGCTTACAAATCTAAGACCTAAACCTAAACCTAAAAAAGCAGTTCCCTTTTTTCTATATTTTGGTACTAGGTCACATTGTCCATATTTATTATTTTTATGAAAAAGGGAAATAGAAAAATAACATCTAACAAATTCCCCACTTTTTGACCCCACTACTTCTGGGATCCAACTTGCTCAAACCTACTATATCCACTGGTTGCTCAAGTACATCCATGAGAGCCAAGGAGGGAAGCAGAACACGAGACAAATTAAGTCAAAAATGATATTTACACACACACACAAGATGAACAAAATGTGTGAAATGAACACACACTGGTGTTAACATTGACATGCATCTGTATACACATTCACACACAAACAAAAAGGTAATGGCATGTTAACACACACACACACTGCAGGCACAATGTTTCCTTTATTATTTCTGCACAACCTCATTGCACACGTGTGCTCGTTCACTCGCAGCTAGTGTTAAAAAGTATCAAGTAAGGAGCTGTCATCACACAGCCTGCACCGGTTTTAGACCCACAGTTTGACCACCGTCATCTCTGGCTGGGGATGGAAATATGTTCTTGGTACACAATTTGTTCCAGTATCCTTTGAGAAAACAAGAGGTTGCGTAGCATATGTTGAAGTACAAATCTGTAATGGTTCTCACTTGTGTGATTACACTGTGGCCTTTTTTTACATGGACTCTGGGCCCCTTAATAGTTTAATATGCACGCCTAAAAATGGAGCAAAGTTGTCCTGCATATCTGTAAATGGAGAATTACTGTAAGAGAAACTAGTTTCAAAGTAAGTGAAGCAACACTTGGAATAAATAGTTCTAGTTGGCACGACAATTTTTCCTCTTTGTCAATGGGACTTGTTAGAGGTCATTGTTAGAAGATAGGTTCATTGTTGATAAAACCCCAGTCTACATTCTTTCTGTTACACTAAGAAGCTGTTGCAATTCATTTTTAACCAGTAAATACAGTTAACTAGATGCAGCTGAGTAAGAAGGATGTTTCTCTGTTGCCTGTAAGATACCTGTTAAAAGTCCAGCATAATCATGTGGCATTTGTTATGATAATTTTTTGCTGTGTTGGAGCAACAGGTTTTACATTACCTGATAATAATACCTTTAATGTGGAGTGGAGGTTTCCATATGTCCTTTTACATAACGTGATTTTTGAAGTTAGGGATATTTGATTACACAATGTATTTTCATCACCATATTTTGAAATGCTCCGCAAAAGAGCTTTACTAGATTTTTATTTCAGACCGTGACCTATCTGGAGGAACAGAACAATCAACGTGCATGTATGCCTGTATTTGCTAAGTGAGTCTTTCCGTTGCTCGAGGTCCAAGAGATAATGTGGAATTCATGAGAGGAATGCAGCCCAGGGGTTCCTTCCTGTCACCTGACTCCATCACTTCCTGCAATGGTCTTCCTGCGTCTGGACCTCCAAGGAGAGGGGCGAGGCTCCAGCTCTGTAAACGTTCAGGTATTCGGGCTCGGTGATGATGAATGAGCCGAGTGAATGACACACACCCCCCAAACCAGACAATTACCTCTTGGTTTCCATCAAGGCCCAGTGAAATGCCACCAGCCGACTTACAATGTTGTTCATTAGGAAACAAAGTGAGGCGAGGAAATGTGGGTGTGGTGTCATCTAAAACGAATAAACAAATGAGCACGGAGGCGAGAACAGGCCATAAAAGAGAGAGAGAGAGAGAGAGGATGTATGGTGATGAAGAATGAAAAGAGAGGAGGAGAACGAGGGAGCTGCAGAGGTGATGGCAGGATTCATGTGGGGCCTCTTGGTTTTTGGGCAGCAAAGGGAGACATGCCAGGTAATGGTTTCCAGACACACACACACTAATTCGATTTTGGAAATCTGACAGGACAAAGAGACAGGGTGTGTGTGTGTGTGTGTGTGTACCAGGGGCCCTTCTGTAGACTCATGAGGTCTGACTTCCTCTGCCCATTGGGAGTAGGGCCAACTAGAACTATTGTGTATGTAAGTGAGTGTGTGTGTGTGTGTGTGTGTGCGTTACATGCATTCAGGATTAATGTATGCTTTCAATCACAGCACTTGTGGGGAGAAATCAGATCCATGCAGCGCTGATGTGGATTCCAACATACACACACGCAGAAACACACACACACTGGACATAAGAAAACACTTAGAGCTGA